GAGTGGTGCAAACCAACAGTGTGACAGCTTTCAGCTCCCACATTAAGGCTTACAGAAGCTTTCCTGCAACCTGAAGACAATGAGAGAGACACTGAACAGCCCCTTATGAAATTGCTTTTAAATGGTCATTTTGCAGAACTACACTGTATTTACTTAGTCCAACATGTTCCGAACGATGTCACACAGGTTCAGGGCCTCTGCACAAGCCCTGCTCTGAACACTGCAGGCAGGCTATGCAATTCCCCTCTGTCTCCTGCCTTTCCCTGCCTACCCCAGGCCCTGTAGAAGCTGAAGTGTCCAGTGTCTGTGGCTTACTGAAGGGCTCGCTCATGAGTCCTGGGAGCAGAGCAAGAGCTTGAACACGTTATGGAATTATAAAATTGTTGAATAGTTTGGATTGGAAGGGACATTTATAGATCTTCTAGTCCAACCCCCTGCCCTAGATCAGGTTGCTTAAAGCCCAAATCCAACCTGGCTTCAAGCACTTCCAGGGATGGGGCATCCCTGGCTTCTTTGGGCAGCCTGTGCCAGGGCTTCATCATCCTCACAGGGAACAATTTATTCCAGTCTAAACTTGCCTTCTTGTTTAAAGCCATCCCCCTTGTCCTGTCACTCCATGCCCTTGTCCAAAGTCCCTCTCCAGCTCTCCTGTAGCCCCTTTAGGCACTGGAAGGTCTCCTGGAGCTTTCTTCTCTCCCGGCTGAGCACACCCAGTTCTCTCAGCCTGACTCCATAGCAGAAGTGCTCCAGCCCTCTGAGCATCTCTGTGGCCTCCTCTGGACTTTCTCCAGGAGATTAATTTATGAATTTTACACTAGTATTTATGAAGGGAGCTGGTAAGGTGTCCAGTTGCAGTGTAACCATGGCTGGCTTAAACATTAACAAAGAGTATTTCTGATGTCTGAAGTGATGCAAGATAATTCCAGCAAACTGTTGTCAAGTGCTTATGAGAATAAACCATTCTGAAAAATTAAACAGTATTATAGATACTCGACCCAAAGCAAGCACCAATAGATACCAGTCTAGTCAGACCAGGCTTAATTAAAATAAGATCAGTTTAAACATTATGTGAGACAGCATCACCCCAGGAGTGCAGCCCCAACGAGGAATGCCAAACTGGTATCAAAATGTTGCTGATTGGCATGGAGTGCCATTAGTTTCCAATATAGGAATTAATTTTCCAATAAAAACTTAATTTTTATGGCATACAATGGACCTGGGGGCTCATCTTTTAGAGATTCTGTATGCTCTGGTGTAAGTCATCCAAATACATTCAATATTCTGCTGTTACTGATTCATGCAGCTTAACCTCTTCAGGCAGAGGAGTGAAGGATGGAGACAATAGCTCGAGTTGATTCACACAAGAAAATCAAATTACTAAGTTCTGACCATTAGATAAAAGCCCTTCATGCACCCAAAATACATGAATTGCCAGTGTTTGTAGCAGAAAAGGCATTTACAGAGGAGAATTGCAGTTTGCTCAAGTGTACTGAACTGTATAAACAGCTACCTAGAGAAAGACATTCTCTATTAAAAAAAACTCCCAGCCAGTTAAAAAAAGCCAATTGCACCTAGGCACAAGTCTATGAAATGTTACTATCATGGGCAGTATTCACTCTATTTCAATTTGCATAACTTCTCACCTGAAAACATGTATTTGTTTCAAAGACAGACTTCTTTACATGAATTAAGGACAGTACTTTATGTATATTTTGCTTGAATTAGCAGTGAACTGCACAGCCTTCTTGGCAGACATAACCTAAACAAGTGCACACTACAAAAAAGCCCTAAAAACTTAATAATGTAAAATTTAAAATGAGGTTTAGTTCACCTTTTTCTTGCTGACTACTGCAGTGAAAAGATTGGATTATAGAGAGCAGAAGTCTGGTTGGCCAAGTAATATTTATTGTGCCTCCTGGAGCCACCCTGAACCCTGCTGTGTCCTTGTCCTCAATATTTTACAGCAGCTGATGAATTGCACAGAAATATATTCTAGGGACAGCTTCAAATATTACTCTTCTTTGTTATTACAAGGTTCATTTCCATTCCTTGACGTTGTAAAAAGGCTGACAGGACTTAAGATTCTTTCTTCTTTGTAAATTCATCACATCTTAGTTCTCTTTTCATATTACTGACTTTTCTCTTGCTCGTTAATTTCCCACCTTTGAGGATGTAGTTCCTCTGTATGGGTTCAATCTTTGTCAATAAAAAGTCATGCTGAGTCAGCAGTGATGAACACAGAGCTACAATAACCTCTTACCTCAGTCTAACACTTGTAGAGCTGTTAAACCTGATAATTCATTTGCCCCAAGAGAGAAACGGCCTCAAAAATAGAGACACAGAATTCAAAACATTTGTCTCTGTTTTGGAACCTCAAAGATTTCACTCTGCTCAGGCTTTCTGCATGGTCATAGGATGATGATTAACATATTTGACACGAAACAAGCAGGGTTCCCAAGCAGTAACTTGGCTGGGGAAGGCAGTGAAGCACCTTGAGTGTGACATCTGCTGCTGTTCCATCAGCAAATAGCAAATCAGCTCCAGTTTTGCCATCACCACACAGCCAAGCACAGCACAGCCTCACCTGCTTCCCCGAGCCCCAACAAGGCCAGAACACCCTGATCCACAAACGGGGACAGCAGCTGCTGCTGAGGTTGGTTGGAAGCACAGCAACTTCAGAAGTGCTGGCTAACCACTTTTAAAAACCCTGATCTGGTATCATTTCAGCTTCAAACCACATGAAAAAAATGTACAAACATGCAGGGCATTTTTCTTTTTTATTTCTGTGCAGTTACCAGATTTTTAGGCGAATATATGTTTGTATATGTATCTATATATAAAAATATATATATGTAATGCTAGCAGTCTATTTATATATGATATTCTGACAAACTGCATGGAATCAAGCTCAGGAATAAAATCATTTGAATCCCAACCAGGCAGCAAGCTGTAAATAACCTTCAGTTTGGTGTGGGACACTGCAGGCTCCTTCCTGAGGCCACCACACACATCCACAGTCACTAAATGACACGTCCCTGCTCACTCCCAGAGAGGGGACACAAACAGATCCGGCCTTTGTCCTTCTAACTCTGCCTCAAGGCCATTTGTAACACACAAAAATGACAAAGCATGGGGAGATCTCTGTTCCCATTGCCTGTGTGCAACCAGTCCTAGAAATATTAAGCCAAACTTGAGGTTTTAACTTTCAGATTCACAAGACAACTTTCAGATTCACAAGACATCTTTCCTGGCAACTAAGAAAAGCTTCTTTAAAAGGCTACCTGACAGTTTGTAACCATGCCATCAGAAACTTTTGAGAGAATCAATCAAAAGCTGTGGGTCTGCAGAACTGCCAGACTGACATTGTCATTTATGCCACCATTTAATGGTGCTGGTGATGTGAATTTGGAGTGGATCAAATTTCTAACATTAAGAAAAGGTTCACTGCAGAGCAGACCAACTACTGATTGTCACAAAGGTGCAGCTCTTTGATAAAAAGATATTGATAAAAATGCTTAAGAAATATAAGGCAAGACTTTAATTTTTGGGGTTTTTTTAATAAAAGATACAAAAGCATTTGTAACACATGATGAAGTCAACCAATAATTTTCAGTGTTGTTTTCCCTTTAGTTTTAATCTAAACAATTTGTTTGTCAACAGCCAAACATCAGAGGGGAAACCAGATTTCTGGGCTGGAGACATGAATCCAGCCCACATCTCCTATTTACCAGGACCCAACAGCAACATCTTCTCATGTGATTCTTAGTAAGTCTTGTGGTCTGTCCTTGCCACAGGTTCCTCAGCTGTATTTTGGAACTTTTGGCACCTGGCAGTGCCACAGACATGCTGTGGCACTTGTGAAGTCCACTGACACACAATAGCTACAGCAGGTATTAACAGCAGTTTAAGTATCTAAAAGGATGCAGAAGTGAAGCAGCAAACATAAGGAGTTTCTGGAAAACAAATTATGAATCTGATCCTACTGAAATGCTAAGAAGAGCTTGGCAAGTGATTTTACCACAAGATATTTAGCCTCAGACACTCATAAGATCCCATTAAAAGAATTGCAAAGATCCCTCAGAGATTTAATTCCACATTCATGGGAAGTGAATTACAATTCCCTCTGGCTTCTGGGGTGAGAAATCCCACTGAACAGACTGGTACCTCTGCAGTTCTGGCCCTGTTTTCTGTTTCACAACACCCCATCTGCCTCACCTGTACCCTCTGCTTTGCCCCATCATCCTCCCCAAACACTACAGAAATACTTCTTTTCAGGGAGAACTGGGCTGCAAAAAGGACCTGTCAAAGCTGATTAGACAGAACGGGAAATGAGTGTTCAGGCACCATCCAGGCATAAAGGGAAAATTCAGTGATAAAACTGGCAACATCTTCCTGTTCTGTCATACTTCACTTGTGTGCCCAGAAAGCAAATGTGAAATACAGCCTAGACTTCCTTGAATGTACTGCCTAAAAGCTGTTCTTGAAATAGAAGATATTTGTGCCAAGAGAAGCAAAATAATATTGTTGTTGGATTGTCAAGGCCAAAGAAAGCAGACCCTGGAGACTAGTGCTACCCAGAGTGACACAATTCTTTTCACTGCCAGCTCTCAGCAGCCCTACAGTATTTTCTTGTGATTCCTTTAGCTCTTATGATGATTCAAGAACTTGAAGTCTAGGACAGAGAATCGCTGCCAAAAATATTTTATCTATCAAAATGCCTGCAAAATGCTAAAAAAAAAGCAAAATACATGCACACAAAAGTCAATCTGTATTCCTTTTTGGGTGTGTAACACCATTTATAGTAGTCATCTGAGATACTTGGGCACTTTAATAAAGGACTGCTTTACAATAAGACTTAAATTCCAAATATGCTCCAGAGGCTATGGAGCTCTAACAGAGAATAAAGAGCTGAGAAAGAAGAAGGCTGAAATTTTTGTTTATGCCTCTGCACAGAGACAGGGAACAAGACTTGGTCAACAGCTTTAAATATACATTCTCACCTGTAGGTACTTATGTATTTAGGCTTTTAAGTTTGACATCTGCTTTTCACTTCTGTGCATCTCTGAATCCTGCAAAGGTAGCACAGGAGGAATAAGTTACTGCAAAGGGATAAGTTAAAACTTAATTCTTGTGAATGTAATGGATGGGCTTCTCAGTATTACCCTAAACAGCAGAATTGGCATAAACAGCACCACTTAAAATGACTGTTTTCAGTTAGGGTGTGAACAATCTTTGTTTGAATTCACTGATTTATGAGAAAACAGGTGTTTCAAACCAAGTGCTTGACTCTTTTGAGCAAACAGTGTATTTGCTGCATCCCTCTGAGTCAATGTTCACCTTGAGTCATGCTTGAAGTTCTTCCTCATAATTTTACTTCTCACAATACCATTTTAAAAGCTTGAGACAGAGGTTTGTAAGGTAATAGCTTGATTCAAAATGAATGTTTTAGTGAGTCTGTCTCAGTCTTACAAGTTCTCAGCATAAGACAAGCTGTGGATCACTGAAAATTTATTAATTACCAAAAACTACTCGAGCTTTACAAAGATTGGTGCATGAAGAGTTTCTCAAACACATCCCCTTTTGCTCTCATAGAAATGACTTCTCATTCTTATCTCCAACGTGACTTAAAAATGGTATGAATGAATAGAAACTGTCATTAAAGCAGAATAAATTGTAACAATAAATGCATGCTTGAAACCCAGCATACTATTTATTGATGTAATTTTCTGACTTGTGCATTCTGAGAGAAGACACAGCACCTAATACATCAGATGAAGTGAAATTAAAAGCAGTCTGAGATAATAGCGATTAACAGCAAACATAGAGAACAACTTCATTGTTTCAAAGCTCAGACAGAAATTATGGACATTGAGAAGGTAATGAAGGAACTTCAGGCTCTCTTAACAAAAAACCTGAAGTCCTTTAAATAAATTAAAAAATAATAAAAATAAGTGAGATGGATTTTGAAACCCTGAAACCAAACAAGTTGCCTAATAACAATGAATCAGACTCTTACTGTGTGAATTGAAAGATAATGATTTGCTTACTGTTTCTCTATTCTCCAGCATGATCTTAGACTCACCCATTTTTTTTAAAGCTTTTTTTACCTTGTTGTCACAGCAATTCCATAAAGCCATTAAAACTCTGATGTGAGAAGGCTTAAGGACATTTTAACATTATTATACTTACATATTTTACCACTTGAGAGAAGTTTGAGAATAATGGCTTTCCAACTTTAAACCTTTTCTGTCCATTTTCTTACTTTTGCTGCTGCATTAATTGTAGAGGAATCTTTGTAGAATTCCATGTAGGAAAGGCAAGGAAAAAAGTGTTCCCTGGGGGCAATATAAATGTGGTAGGGAAAATAGTAACATTAATTAAAATATCAGAAACCAGGTAATTTTAAGAAGTTCACCCCAGGATTTTCGTGATTAAAAAGGAAATGCTCCCAGCTTTAGCCTATTATTAACTTTTCTTTCCCAATTCTTCAGGGTAAAGAAGAGAGAAGGCAGAATAATGGAGAAAGAAGATGTCTAGGCTAGACAAACCCCTTAAGGCAAAGGCATCAACTTTCAAGTTCAAGGTACTAAACCCACAAAATGACACGGCCAAATTGCACCTTCAAACACCAACAGCAAACACGGCATTTTAATGAGGAGTAGGTGGATAGACATGAATCAGGTACAACAACTGCAGTTCCTCAAGAGCAAATATTGACTCACACCTTTTCTCAGCTTTTGAGCCCTTCCACACGGCTGCTCCAAGGCACATCCTCACAAGCCATGGGGTTACACACCTCACCAGGACCACTGCCAGCCCCACTCTTGCTGTGCCTGCTCAAGCCTGTCCCAGCAGCACAGGTTAATTTGCATCACGTGCACCTCATTAATCCACATTAATTTGTTTCACTCTGCAAGCAGCAGAGGCAGGCGCCTGCACGCCGTCATTGTCTCAGCCAACTGGTTACAGCTCTGCATGATGTTAAAACTCTGGTAATTGTAATCAGGCTGTCATATTCCTGCTCCAGAAAGGGAGGAAAGATGAACAAAAACTTGGATGCTGAGATTATCAGGTGTCCCACAGTGCAGGCAAAGAGCAGCACTGAAATCCAGCCCCTTCTGGCTGTGGGGCAGCAGGAGGCATGGTCAGTGCACAGGAGGGGTCAGCAAACCCAGAAATACACTCAGATATCCACAGAAATTCAACCTAGAAAGGGCAGGAGAAGGTAACAGACTTTCAATCCCCTACCAAATACACTGGGCTGTGGTGTTACAGCACTGTATTCCAAATGAGGAAGGGAGGCTCAACCAGTGAGATTTTCATTTCTGCAATTAGGTGAAAGACTTTTCTCCAAGGAAACAATATTGTAGTAGCATTAAATTTTAATTTTCTCAGTGAGTTTACTCACTGAATATATTTTGAGTAATTCTTGTTTTATTTTCAAAGCTCATGGGAATGTAAAAAAATGAAACCCCAAACTAGTTTCTGCTTGGAAATAAATGATGTTAATGCTGCCACTGCATGTTTCCAAAAACTAGTTCCATCACTCAAACTCTAAGAGTTTTCCCCCACAGAATACCATAAGAAGAGTTAACTTACAAGCTTTCATATGCATCTTTGAACACTACATTAACATTAATTGGCTATGACGCATGACTAAGCCTGTCCTCTGCTTCCTCCTTCCTATCACCCCTATGAGAACTGGCCCAGACTGTCAGTGCTGCAGCAGACTGAAATCAGCTAATCTGCTTTTATTCAGAAAAAAAGCCCAAAACCCTGCAGTTTTTAAAAGTGCAGATAATTTTTACTGCAACAAATAGCTTGGGGTTTCAGAAAATATGTATTTGATTTTTTGTTTCAGTTTCTGTGAGCACGGTTTGATCCAGCTGTGCTTGACTTCTTGAAAGACACCATCAAAGCTTGACTAGGGTGCAACAGAAAGCTGATTCATGCTGGTTTGTTCCTTCCAAAGAAGAATCCTTTTCCCTTTCCACACTGGCATGTTTTAATCCTCCTTGTGCCTTAAGAACCCAGTTAGAAATACATCTCCCAGTCCTCACTTGGCAGACTCTCTGGGGCAGGTTAAGACAAGGTGCTTGTCCTTCTGCCCAGCTCTTTTCTGACATACAAATGCTCCCATATAAGAGAGCAGTTTGTACAATGTTATTTCCCATTCTACCCTCAGTGCTGTTGAAGATGGGCTTGTGGAATACTGAGTGAGAAACATGATCAGTAAATTGGGACCCAAACTCTTTCTCCTTTTGAGTAAGTGAATAAGATGTGCTGAAGAAGGGAGGGAGAGGGAAAAATTACTAATTTATAACATCTGAGACCTACTTACTGAGTCTTGAAAAAGGATGCATGACTTTAACTACAGATTGACTCCATTCCTACAGGTACCAAGGGTTTTTAGCTCATTACTGCTGAGTTAAAGGAAACTCCTTAAACTAAAACAAATGAAACCCCAAAGGGAGCACATGTGTTGTTGTGTGATAAAATGATAAAGAACTGTGCCATTGAGTCTTTCCAAAGCTGGAAGGTAGTGCTGATTTTGCATTAAACAAAAGGATACCCTCTGTTCTCACAGATTCTCAGACCAGAAAGTACCCATACCATGCATTTCCACAGCTCTGCTTGGCACAGGTGTGAACTGACAAGCACAACCAACAATCCTTGCTGTGTCTGGCTCATGACAAAACCTGTACCAGCTCTGCACTAAAAATAAGAGTGTGAGCTACCTCTAAAACACTGAGGATTTAAAAACCACAACCCTCAGACTCTTAAAATCCCTTGACATTTCCAGGAGGTTGAAATGCTTCTGAAGTTGTTAATGTACCAAAGCAGATTTTGGAGTGCAGAAACATGACAATTCCATTTAGGAAATATGTGTGAAAATCAGAATTTAAACCTAAACATAGAAGGGCCATATTGCAACTTTCCCCAAGTAAATTCCTTTGAAGAGCTCACATACTTTCCTGCAGAAAGCTGACTGCTTAAAATAGCTGTCAGCTTTCTAAAGGGAGTGATTAATTCCACTGGAGCTATTTCTGCTTCCAAGAGTACTATTAAATTTAACTGACAATGGGGAAAGCTGCTGCTGATGGATGTCTCACATATTTTGAATAAAGCCCACATTTATGCCTTGCTAAGTGTGTGGTTTTTTTAGTTTTTAAACTTGATTTTCATTGTACAACCTATCAGTCAATGCTTATGAACCACTGACCAAAGCCATTCAATGACTGCTAGTAATTACTTAGTAACTGCCTTGTAATTGCCTCAGAGCTAGTAGCACCTATCCAGTAATTCCCAGTAACTACTAGAGCTAGTAAGTCCCTAGTAACTGCTCGGTAACTACAAGAACCTCTCAGTAACTACTAGGAAGAGTCTAACAACATTGCAATAACTGTGTGGTCACTGCTGGTAACATCTTGGTGCCTAACAATTGCTGCTAATGACTTTGTAGCTGTCTAATATCTCCTAACAATTATTGAATTACTAATTACTGCCTTCTAACTGCCTAGTAAATAATAGTTACTGCCTAATGTCTGCATAACAGCTCCTAGTAGCTACTTAATACCTTCCTAATAATCAGTTGTTCATACTAGTTCATACTAGGTCTAACACCTATGCCCTTTCCTTCATGGCCCCATTAACCCATCCTTCCTCAGGGCCAAATTCCCCTCAGACCACATTGTTTCCACCCCAAGGAGAATGAACAGAGTAATTTCCCCCCAGTTTTCCCTGCTGTTGCCCCAAAAAGGGGCTTCATCCATATCAGGGCCTCCCCTCAGGCTGTGAGGGATCACACTGGATGGTTAAAGATGGATTGCAGTGGCAGGATGAGGAGCTCCTGCTTGGCACAGGGATTTTTTCCTCCTGCTTTTTCCCTTTTTTCTCTCTAGTTCATGACTTGTCTGAGCTCTGCTCACAACAGTTCAAAGCTGCTGCCATTAAATTTGATAAAATTGGGATAAATTTTAGAGGGCAGCAGAGGGTGCTGTTAGTTCTCCTATTGGGAGGATGGGGCCAGTCACCCCTCCAGCCCAGAATCCAGCCCGACCCAAAGCACAGAATAACCTCCTGCTGAGGGGTCAGCCTTGCTCCATGCTCCAGAATTGGTGCTCTTCTCCAGCTGGCTCTGAAATTCAATGTTTTTTTCAAGGGGCTCAAAGTAGGTTCACTGCTCTAAATACAGATTGAAAAAGAAGGAATCTCTAATATCCAGCATCTACTTTGAAAAGAGAGATTTTTTGTGGTAATTATTCTATTCTATTCTATTCTATTCTATTCTATTCTATTCTATTCTATTCTATTCTATTCTATTCTATTCTATTCTATTCATTATTTGTTATCTAGGAACCAGAAACAGTGCTTGGTGTGATTAATGACTCTGTTCAATATAGCCACGCTTCAAGTTGTGTGAGTTTGGAGGAAAAAAACCAATCAGCACTGATTTTTGAGGTGCTAAAGGCCTTCTTGCAGTTTCTAAAAGATGCCTAGAGCCAAGGGAATAACCTCTGAATAACAGATAAGACCAGAGCATTCTGAGAGCATTTCAGCTAAAATTGTAATTGCTTGGAGGAGTTAATTGCCTGTAGTGACTTTTCTAGGCTGCACAGTATGAGCTGGGAGGTTTGTGCCGATGGCTCTGGCCCTCCTCAGGAGCAGTGGAGGTGTCTGGTTGTTATGGGAATACTGCTCATAACCACATGAACAGCCAGATCACCCTGAATTTATGGAGCTGTGGATTGATACTGTTTGTGCTTGGCACCCGCGGGCAGGCTATGAGGTAGGGATTTGTTATGATACCAGACCTCATTTGCAGGCAAGGAGCACTGCCAGGGGCTTTTAGCAGAAGGTGCTGAGCAGTTCTGTGTCTTGAAGAGCCCAGTGATACTTCCCACTGCTTTGGAAATGTAGAAGATCTATTTTGCTGCCACAGGATGCACAGGATTTACCCTCTTCATTTCTCTGCATCTCACTTTCACTGTTATTCTGGCAGAGGTTTCTGTGCAGCACAGAGGTGTGGGAAGAGGTTTGCAATCATTGTTATCTGCACAGGGCTTAGAGATGGAGGAGGAAACAGCATCAGGTTTCCTCGGGGTGGATGGTGAGATTAGCAGGAACCAGCCCTGTGAAAGTGGTATTAAATGATAAAAAAATGCTGAAGGGCAATGGGGGCTGGGTTCAGTTTTCACAGTGAGGTTCACTCTTTTGAATGAGGGCCTTTCCTTGTGCTGGAGCAGAGAGTAAAGCCAGGGCCTTGCTGCTCACGAGTTTAATCTCTATGCTGGACCCTCCTTTTCCACTCAGGTGGCTCAGATTCTCTTCCACAGCTGAGCACTGGAGCTCTCAGGTGCTGTTTCAGAGGTTTAGTGCATCCAAGAGATGTCCTGCTTGCTCTTGCAGTCTGTGCTGAACTGTTAGTGTCCTTCCAGCTCCTTCCACACTGCTCTGTGCACATGCTGCCACTGGCTTTTGGGAAGTGAATTCCTCTTTCTGGTGGTGACAGGATGCTGAGAATGTCAAGGCACATGCTTCTCTGTTATCCCTGCCTCTAAACACGCTGTCCATCTCTTTGAGGGTAAAAATAAAGCAGCTTTGTTTGAATTCCAGAAAAAACCAGACAGTGCAGGGGTCAGAAATAGGCATCCCAGCCCTCCCCATCCCACTGTCTCAGCTGTTGCTTCCTGAGAGACAGAAGCATGTGGTCGCTAAAAATACCCTGCGAAGAGAATACATTCTCTCTCCAATGGGAGAGTATAAATTAAGCCGAGTTGTAATATATACAACTTCTTGTGGCTGGGAGAAACATTTCCCAACGTCACTTTTGGAGAGGGTTTTCCTAACGAAGCAGAACTCCCAGCGCTGTCCCATCCCCGCGTAGCTCGGCGATATTGCGCAGAGGATCTCCGGCTCCTGCCTCTCCTGCTCCCACCCCTCGCCCTCCTATGGCAATCCATGTGCCCAGGGGTGGGGGGAGACCAACCCTCCTTTTATAAGCCTGGCCAGGCTGACAGGAGTGACAGCAGCTTTGGCTTGCTCTGAGACACCCACCTGCCAAACCTTGGGGTCCCTGGGATGACCAAAGGAGGAATGGAGTCAGTGGAAGTGTTCACAACTGAAGGCAAAGGCAGGGGTTTGAAAGCCCAGAAGGAGTTCTTGCCTGGGGATGTCATCTTTGCAGAGCCAGCCTACGCAGCCGTGGTTTTTGACAGGTAAGAGAAAAAGCACTTGTAAAACTCGGAACAAAAGTAATCTCGCCGCAAAATTTCATCCGGCTGTAGGAAAGTTTGGCGGTGCCTGGATGACATCAGAGAAGGGATCAGAGGGAAGTCAGAAGCACTTCTGGAAAGACACATTCACAGCTCATAATGAATGTCCTTCCCAGGGCTCAGATCAGCTTTTTCACGTTCAGGATGGTGCAGTTTCCGAGATGTGACCTTGCAAGGTGTTTGGTGTGCTCACCTTTTAGAAAAGCAGTGGAAGTTGCATGTATGCAGTGCCTCACAAAAGCAGCCCCACACCACGCTGCAGAGAACTGCAGGAGGTAGGGCAGTCCAGGTACAGGCAGCTCAGACTGACTTTGCTGAAGTCTCTGATGGGTAATACATGATAAAGTGAGTTCTATTGCGCTCTGCTCACGTGTACCATCCCCAGCTGCACTTGCAGCTTCATCACCCGCTGCCCTCGAACTAGGAGCTGGTGGGGATCAGTGAGTGACACTGTTTCTGTTAAAGAGAGTTAATATTTACAGCTGGCTGGGCTAACTGGAGACAAATGTCTGCTTTTGCTCTTTCATGAGACTGGTTTTAAATTTATGTTCACACTGATGTAGCCAGACTCTGAGTTCTGGTGCAAGGACATTTTTCTTTTCTTCTGCTTGTTTAAATGAAATTTCTTCAGCCTTATAACATGCTGAGAACAGAATGTTGCCCAAATTTTTAAACTGAGGACTTAGATGGCAGCTGAAGGTTTGATTCTGTGTTTAAGAAAGTTGTGTGTGTTCTTCAAGGGCATCATGGTGAGTCTTGAGACTGAATTTTTAGCCCCAAACAGCCAGTGATTTTAGTAAATACCCTCCACCCTAAACAGGGCCGTGAGCAACTCTGCTTAGCTGAGTTTTGTCTCTTAAATTGGCGAAGTCTGGGGCACAAGCAGAGGTTGTGCTGCTGTATTAACCCTGGTCATCTTGTAGCTGAAGCTGAGCAGTGCCACTGTGTGATCTGGCAGTAGCAGAGAATTGAATATTAAATGGAAAGAGGAAGAAATAAGTTTTTTTGGCTGTCTTTCATTCACTGTTTCTTTGTTCTTTAACTGTCAGTGAGTGAACATGGTTATGAATCTTTGCCATAGCAGGAATGACACCTTTAGTTTTTATTTTAATATGTCATTGTAAGAGCTCACATTCAAAATGTAATTTTTCACTTTAAAATGCTGATTTCTTGAAGTCTTAATGCTGAGCTCAATTACAGGAGTTGGTGACAAAATCATTTCTCCTTGATGTGTCCTTTTAGCTCTTCAGTTGTACTTCAGTTTCACTCGTGTCACTAGCTGTTTTTTTTTTTTTAAGCCACTGAAAACATTTTGACTTTTGATGGTGGCTTAAAAATATTTTTTCTTCTGTGTGAAACATTGCACCATGCATAGAGCAGAGCTGCCCATCAAATGTCACTTGTGTAATGTGAGATAAGGGCAGAAGCTATCACTGCATCTGCTCTTAGACTGTGTCTTAGGCTGAGGTTTCCAACAGAAAACCTCAGATGGGGAGAGGTGTGTTTCCCAGCTTCCCTCCCTTCCTCCCCAAGCTGGGCTTGTTTAGCTCCCAGAGGGCAGGTCCAGAGGTTAAGAGGCAAGAAGTCAGGGTAAACACAGCCCTTCTCTGCAACTGTTGTGCAATAATAATGGATTCTTACCCTCCTGTGACACCTTTCCTCTCAAAGCACTGAATATGGGTCAGTGGTGAAACACAGTCCCAAAATCTCTGAAACAGACTAAATGCTTGTTGATTAGAGCTTGGCAGGATATAAAATATATATATAGAGAGCTTGGCTGGGTATAAGATATATAATAGAAACACACATTTTTCTTGTAGAAATTACCCTGATGCTTTTCTTACACAGCCAGGGCTTTGGTTTTAAAGGTACCTTCTATTGCTGTGCCAGGGTGTTCAGTCCATCAACCTCTATCAAATTGATTGCTGTCAAAGAAGGGTTGTTTGCATCCTCATGTTCTTTATTCCTGCAAGAATAAATCCACACCTGGCCACAGCAGCTGGTTTTACCCTATAAGATCTGCTGTTGTCTCTGCATGGATGGAGAGCCAGTGAAGAGGCATGTGCTTTTCCTTGCCCACAAACACAGGTGTATAGGTCCTAAAATTGCTGTTGAGTCTACACTATTAAAAACGGGAAGCCCAGAATCCAGAGTCCCTCATCCTAATTCAATTCAGTATCTCCCATGCCTTGCTGAAAGCACTGCGTATGTGTACTGTGGAAAGAGGACTCAAAAATGAATGACTTGAGTTTAAGTTTTTGTCTCAGGCCCTACCAAATATGTGATCAGGTTTTCCAAAGATCTCAGCTTTCTTTGTGCATAAAGACCACACAGGTGCACTAGAGTGCAGAGCTGGCCTTTCCTTTGCAGCTCTTTGAAGAACTCAGTCCTTTGGGAAGTCTATTCCCAGGCTGTGGGTATTGAGACCCTGAAATCCTTCCCCTGATTTTGCTGCTGAAAGGTATATGGAAGGCAGCTGTAGTGCAGAGGCCACACACACATCTTCTGTATGGCTGCATAGGATGTGCAGGAGAAGCAAAGGCTTTTTTGAGATTAGTAGGAGCAGCTCTGCAGAGATACAACACCATTGTGCTCTCTAGAACACAGCTTGAAATGGAAATCAGACTGGGATATCAGCCACAATTTACCTGGCCAATAACCAGATGGTCAAGTTCAAAGTCAGGACAAGCTGCCAGGCAAATAAATGCCATTCCTGTACTTACCCAGAAAGTCAGGGCTGTTATCACTGCTGGTTACCTCCTCCAGTGCTGGGAGCTGTTTGGAGGGGCTCTTCCATCAGCCCACTGTGGATCCAATCCATCAGAGTAGACTCCAACCTGACTTTTATGTGTAGATAGAGACAGATACGTAGACAGACAGATACATGTGAGGAGCTGTTGAAGTAATTGGGACCTGAGGCTGCCACCCAACTCCACTTTATTGATGTCTGTCTTTAAGCAGGAGGCTGAGTTTGAGGAAGTGTGGAGATTTTATTTTGCTAGGAAAAAGGAGAGATGTTTTCTTTGACAAAACTCTATCATCAGGCAGAGCCTAACACTGGACATCTGTGTGCAGACAGGTGAATCCAACACTAAATGCTGATATAATCAATAGAACTCTACAGGTGCCATGAACACAGACATCCACCTTTGAGCTGAATGGCTTTCCAGACCCTGCTGAGTGCGGTGGTGGAATCTCTACTCAGACACTGGGGGTACAGATGAGCACATTTAGGTGTCTGAATCTACAGGCTGCATCCCACCCTGGAATCCCCTGAAGGTCACAGGGACCCTGAAAGCCCCTAAAGTCATTTAGGGTGGTGAGGGCTTTTACTCTTCAGCCCAATGATGGTCATCTGAGCAGCAGTTTCTTAAACAGTGCCAGAGACTTTTCATCTAGAAGCATGTAAAACTCAAAGGAAAATGAGGTTCCTATAAACACCAGCCAGCTCATAGTCAGATTTTAGGGCCAGAGTATGACTCACTAGGCTAACCCTGTTCATTGCAGGGGGGTGGGACTAGGGCTAGATGACCTTTAAAGGTCCCTTCCAACCCAAACCATTCTGATTTTATGATCCTATAACTTATTTGCTTAACACAGTGTATAGTTAGCATTGACTCCTGTCTCAACCCTGCTATTCCTACCTGAATGAGAGCAGGCTGCTTAAAGAAGTGGTGAATACTGATGGAAAAGGGGTGCAGAACTCTGTGATTTCCAGGATAAAGTGTAGACACAGCCTGGTCTCTGATTCAGCCTTGCTGTTATCAGCTGAAATACTGCTCAGAAAACACCATCAGGCCTGTTTGCCCTGACATAGATGCAGAAAGCTGGAAATTAATCTTCTCAAGGGATTTTTTGCTTTTGTTGGGGTAATTTTTCAATTTACAAAGGCCCTGAACCACTCACTGAAGCTTTCTGTAATCCTTCCTCCCTCTTTGCTTTCTCCTCAAAGATGCCAGGTCTCCTTTCCTCCATCCCCTTGATGATGATGGCATTCCCAGTGCCTGGGCTCAATGTACTGTATGTGACCTTCTCCTCTGACACATCAGCTGGCTCTCAAGCCTGTAAGAGTTTACATTTCCTATAAGCAAGGGGATGCCTCATATGTCTCTGCCAGCCTTTTCCAAGAGAAGGTTTTCTCTTTAACTGGCGGGATTTGAGGGACAGTAGTCAAAGAAAACAGTGTCATGTGCTGGAAAGCCAAGATCCCCTGAAGATCTGCTTGATGAGTGATCTGCAAATTGATAAAAAACTCAGATCATGCAATTTTTGCATGTCTTTTTGATGTATGAAAGAAGCTGAAAACATTTTCCAATGAAATGTGGGGAACTCTGTTATTGTAGTTAGGATGACCTAGAGATATAAGAAATCCAAAATTTTCCATAACAGCATGACTGAAATTCTTTGAGCTGACACCGATAAAAACTGAGAGTTAATATGATTGTATTCACATTTTTAAAAAATATTCTGGGGTTTTATATTTTATTACTATCTAATTGTTCAAAAGCTTAATTAAAACCTGGGAGAAAACCTAGCTTTTTAAAGAAAACCTCACCCACACCTCTAAGAAGGGGCTGGAAAATTGTGTAATAAAAAACTAAAAATAAAATAGTCAAAAATTAGTCTAAAATAAATCCTCCTCTCAAATCAGAAAAACTATAGGCTATATCATCCCTAAACCCATTCTTATGCTAATGATTCATCTTTAGGTAGCAGGTGCATTTTCTTAAGCTGTTGTCTTTAATGAAGTGTTACAGCCTCTGCTTTGAAAACCAAGGAGACTTTGCCTACATCTTAAACTGTTCTTATGCTGTTCTGTGTGGCAGACTGAGGAGAGAGATGCCCTGCCAAGCAATAAAAAATGGGATTTAGGTGTGGGTTAGGTTTAGATGTGTGTATCATCTGTGATGTACAGAATAGCATGGACCCATGTTAAGCAGTTTGTGAGCTGCTCACTGTGTCTGTCAGCTACTTAATTAAATCCTCCTCTGTTCTTTGCACTAAAGCCATCTCACCTGGCTTTCCCAGGCCAGTGAATGAGATATTTTATATGCTGGATGGCAGATGTTTGGGCTGTGCATGTCTCAGAGATGAGGTTAATACATTTCCTGTGACAGTGTTCAGCCCTCTGTGATAGTGCTCAACCCTGGCAGGTCCAGCAAACCTTAATCTGTCTGAATCCAATCCAAGCAGTGACAAGAGTTATTTGTTTCTTGTGCTTTCACTGCAAGCTGTGCATGCAGGAGCCATGGTTTAGTTGCCAGTGCTGTGTTACCTCTTGCATTTGTGGGCTGGCATGTTGAACCACTGTTTTTGTCACTGTAGCTAAACTCAGGATCAGTTGTAGTTGTGTGTCTCACCTAAGAAACACCAGAGCACGTGAGCCCTTCAGAGTTCAGCTCGGTTGATGCTGGGGTGGGAGGCCAAGGAAACCTGAGGCTCCCCAGAAATCATTCAGTGAGTCAGTCAGTGGCATCTGCCCTCTAAGTCAGCCCTAAATCCCTGACCTGGCAAGCTTGTGATGGGTTGGAGGCATCACTGTACTGAAGATCCTGCTTTTGGGCAGGGTGAGAACCAGTTCTCACTATGTGTGGAAGAGGGCAGTGATCACCCCAGAGGCTTGTGGTGTGCACAGACTGAACAGAAACCAGTGGTGGTGTCCCTGTGATGTAGCAAGGGGCAGCAAGACCCAGAGGGTTCAAACCTCCAGGGTTCCTTGGTAGGTGCCACAGCAGAAGTCACCTCCCCAGGGTCCTCTCCAGGAGCTTTTAGTGCTGCCTGGCCATGCAGCATCCTGACTGCAGGGCTGCTCTCTGCCCTGCAGGGGAGATCTGGGATACCTGGAACAGTTTTGGATTGTGTTAAACACTTTCTAGGCCAGACAGGGAAGGTTTTATAGACCAATGATTTCCACAAGCTGAGAGACTTTAAATTTAATCTCAGTCTGCTCCACTTGGAGAACCTTAACATTGCAGAGGGGATGAGAGAGGAGGCTGTGAAGCACTGCAAGCCTTTGGTGTCCTGAGTGTCTCCAGGACAGGTGGAATCAGAACCCAGCCAAGGGAGAGCCCCACTTTGTCATTCCCTTTTGGGGCATCCAGCTCTGAGCTCCTCTGACACAGCAGGAGTTTGCACAACTGCCAAGGGGATTTAGGTGCTTGCAGATGTTTATGCAGTGTTAGTCGAAGTTTTATGGAATAGATCTCAAATACTTGTGGCTCCTGATTTTTTTATTGTGCCAAGACTTGAGCCCAGGCCTTTGGAGTCCTGATAACACACAATATCAATAAATCCAGTCTTCTTTGAAAGTGTTTTGGGGCACGGAGGATCCCATAATGGTTTTGTAAGAGCTGCAATATTTCTTACACTTGCCAGTCAGATTACCTGTGAGTAATTGTCTCTGCAGTTTCAATACACAGGGGCTTTTCCTTTTCTTTCTCAGAAAGTTTTGTATAACTTTTTTGGTGCATTTCTGCATCTCCTCAGAAATCAGGGATTTCCAGAGCTGGTGTTAAATTCTGCCAGCCAGGTTTGCCTTGGAAAATCTGGATACCCCATGCAATAAACAGCAAAATGTGAAGTTAGCATTTCAGTATTTTTTTATTCTCAGGGAGAAAACTGAGGGGAGAGAAGCACCTATTGTAGGACTTGGATTTTTCTGCACCATGTTCCCTTCCAACCTGTCATTCCTCTCTACAAGGAAACTTTATTTTTGCCTTCTTCTGCCCTTAAAACACCCAGGTGGCAGGAGAGACCCCCATTCCCCATGTGAGATATCTGCCTGTGCTTCCTGGCACGACGTAGCCATGTGGGTTTTATCAGCTCTCTGGCTCTGCTTTGCCTTACAAGGACTGTAATCTCTCTTGCACCTCTCTGCCCCCCTGACCTGACAGCTGACAGAGCACAGCCTCACATTTCTCACCAGCTTTCAGCTCTTCCATTTGACACAGTGGAGCTGGCTGCATCTCCCCTTCCCAGACATGTTTCCCTCTGCCCCATCCCAGGTGCTTCCCTTGCACTGGGCTCCCCGCAGCACTGCTCACTTTCCTAAACCTCATTTTCCAGACCTCATTTTTGCACAAGGTTTTGTCTGACGTGGGTCATCCTGCTCTTAAATCAGTAGCCCTCTTTATCCTGCAAGAGCCAAGGCACAGGGTAAATTATGTCAGCAGCTCAGATAATATTTTCAGAGAAAAGAAATGCATTTTAAATGAACTGCTATATAGATATAAACATAAATATGCATATGTATGTGTGTACCTACATATAGGTATAGTAGAGAGGAAGGACAATCTTTGGGTTGGATTCTCTGGGGCTGTGAATCTGACTCCTGCTTGTGGCACATTCTCCTTATGTGATCATCAAGAATTTTTTTATTTCCCCTTGCCTCAGTTTCCCCACTCTGCACTGAGCACAATTATAAATGTTCTTTTGATCATGAAGCCTCTGTGGTCCCTGAGCTTTTTGCAGTGAGCAGAACCCCCCTTCTGGCACCAGCGGTGGCTGAGTGATGGGAATTTAAATTCTCCTGTACTGTCAAGCCTGGCTGGAGGCCCAGATAAAGTGGGTGGTTGCCTGGAGAAGCAGACAGCTGGAGACACCAAATGAGGCAGTGAAAAGCCCTCTCTAGCAGCAAGGGGAAAGTCCCAAAATTTTTTGGACAGGAGACCAAAGTGTCTCCCCCTCCTTCTCAGTGAATTAAGTTCTAGGAGCAAAAGCCAGATAAATGAAAGGGCATATGGGGGAGATTTCCCCTCAGTCAGGGACCCTAGACATTCTCAGAGGGAGGATGTGAGGTCAGATTTCTTCATCAGCATCCTCCCATGGCCGTGGTTATAGTTACATATATACAATTGTAGGATGCTTCTTGGAAATCCTGTTTTGAATCCCCCAAAGATTAAATACCCCTTTTGAAGAGGTCCCAGTTATTCCCTCACCATTTAACTTACAGCAACAGGCAAGACCACAGGGATCAAGCTGGGTGTTTCTCCATCCTCCCCAAAAATCTTGAGGGGTTCATTTTTGCGGCTGCAGGGAGCCCAGGGGTGCAAAGCAGGCAGGATCTTCACTGGGCAGAGCTGGCCCTCACTGATCCAAGGTGTCCTTCTGCCCTTGCAGCCTGACACACGTCATCTGCCACACCTGCTTCAAGCGGCAGGAGAGGCTGCACCGCTGCGGGCAGTGCAAGTTCGCCTTTTACTGCGACAGGACCTGCCAGAGAGCAGCCTGGCTCAACCACAAAAACGAGTGCTCTGCCATCAAGAGGCATGGCAAGGCACCCACCGAAAACATCAGGTGAGAGCTGGCCCCTGTGACCTGGGAGGGGACAGAGCATCCCATGGCAAGGAAGAGCTGGGTGGTCTGATTTGGGCAAGGTGGAGGTGGGAGAAGGTTTAGGATAGGCCTGGAGCATCCCTGAGATAAGGAAGGTATGTGGAGGAGCATCAGTGGTGCAAGAGATGTGTTCCTGTTTGGGTTTTTTTGGTGGGTCCTAAAAACTCTGAATGTAGTGAGGCAAACACACCCTGGATGGTTTAGGAGGTGTGGGAAACTGGGGAGTAGGTGGGAAAGTGAAAGAGGAGATGGATTCTTCCCCAATTTGCCTATAGGATACATGAATTTGTCTTCACATTCTGGCTCCACCATAAAAAAATGAGAGGAATCCTCAAGGAAATGGGAGCAGCTTTGGAGGGCTGGGGGCCTGTAGCACTTCTCCAGATGAGAACAGAGGTGCTGGGACAAAACCCTGCATCTCCCTCACCTTCAGGAGGCTGGGGATGGTGACCATCCATCACCCATCTGAGCCTGTCTCAGTCAGTCTGCCCACACACCATTTCCCCCCCAGGAGATGAATTTTGATGGCTCTTTGTTCTCTCCTTGTGCTGTGACACCTGTGGCTGTCCCCGGCCAGGCTGGCTGCTCGCATCCTCTGGAAGATCGAGAGGGAGGGCAGTGGGCTGTCCGAGGGCTGCCTGGTGTCCATCGACGAGCTGCAGAACCACGTGGACAGCTTCGGCGAGGAGGAGAAGAAGGAGCTGCGCACTGATGTGGAAAGTTTCCTGGAGTTCTGGCCACCCCACTGCCAGCAGTTCGGGATGCAGTTCATCTCTCACATATTTGGGGTGGTATGTCAGAGGGGTGGGAGTGCAGATGGGGGAGGTTTGTAATGCCAGCTTTGGGGAGAAACTCTCCAGCTGGCCTGGTTAGAGGATGGCTGACTTCATCCCACTGCCTCTCCTCTGCACTGACACTGGGGAATTGAGGCAGGGCAAGGGCAAGGGCTGAAACATTTTGTCTGTCTAGATGTGCAGACAAGTGGTTTGTTCAATCATAGGTGCTGCATTTTCATCACAAGTCCCACTGGGCATCTCTCTGCACCTGGGAGAGCTGAGAAAATATGTTTTTAGTAAATACACCTAGAATATATTTGAATATAACAGATCTGTTTTAGCAGATACATTAATGTCTATTAATATTGTGTGCATTAGATTTTTTACATTGACGTAACATATATATATATAATAAAATCAGTAAAAAATGGAAATACATTTAATAATATCCCCTACTAAGTTGTTAAATATAAATTTTTTGTTCTCAGTGTAACTGAAAGGGAACTTCCAGTTTAGGCTGAGCTGCTCTGCTCCCAGTGCTGGGCATCCCTACACTACCCTCTCAGCTCCCAACACTGCCAAGAGGAGACACAGGCTCTGCTCACCCCTCTGCCAGTGACCTTTGCCTCTCCCAGTACAGGGAGAGGACACAGCATGCTTTGGTAGCCACACCACAAAGAAAATCCAGTCCACTGGACATAGGGAGACCCTTTGTGCTAGAGACCAGCACAGCTTGTCTGTGGAGAAGCAAGGAAGTACAGAAAAACTACAGAATCAGTGCACAAAGGAAATAAAACTATCAACAGGGCAAAATAACCAGTAGCTGAGTTAATGAGTTCCTTTGGTTTATCCTGTCGTATTTTCTCTTTGCAGATATTTCCATTATTTGTGTTTGTGACTAAAAACTGTTCTGTTCATGTGTGATAATAGTGTATCATCTATAAAAGTGAAATAATTCATTCTTGGAATATATGCCATGCAAAAGTAGTCATTCTGAAAATTCACAGCAAAGAGTAGCAGCTGGTTTTTATGAGCTTTGAGGGAAACCCAGAAAATATGACCAGGTTGAAAACGGCAGGTTAATTTCTAACTGATAGCTGTTTTCACGAGTGTGAACTTTGCTTTCTGCTTGAATTGCCTCAAAATAATTTTCCTCTGATCTTTTTCTGAATTATTTTCAGGAACCAAATATAAGGAAACCAGTTCATGGCCAAACCAAGTTTATCTTAGGCATCCCAAGTGAACACTGATAGCAAACATTCTGTAACACTGACTCAGCTTTGCCCTGGTCCCTCTGCATGAGTCCTGCATTGCTTCTCTTCTGGTGTTTTATCCTGACTGGAGCATTTCAGCTTTTTCTCCTTTAACACTTCTTCCTGCCTGTGTTTTGGGACTAGATCAGCTGCAATGGCTTTACCCTCAGTGACCAAAGAGGACTGCAGGCTGTTGGTGTGGGAATCTTCCCCAACCTCTGCCAGGCCAACCACGACTGCTGGCCCAACTGCACTGTCGTCTTCAACAATGGCAAGTGAGTGGATTTTGTTCCTTTGGTGTAGCAGGGATGCATCCTAACAGCCAACTCAGCAGGCTCTGCCACCTCCCAGTGTCAGCTCTCTGCCCCAGAAAACCTACTCATTATTTCCTATCTAACTCAGAAAAAAATCCCTAAACAGTATTTTCTTGCTAAAGACAAATTGGTTTATCTCCTTGTTGTTTAAAAAATTGTCATCTGATGCACTAACAAATACATAAGACTTGACCCCAAATCCAGCAACCAGCAAAGAACCTTTCCCAGATTTCTTATGTAACTAGACTCAAACAGGTAGCTAAAGTAGTAAATAGCTGTTTAACTCACCCCTTATATTGAAGCCTCATTTATATATAGTTAAGGAGTAATTCCACTTAGGAAATTATTAAGGATTATCCCAAGTCCACAGTCCAAGAATTTCTCCTAACTGAAGCTTGCAATCAGCTGTGTATCACCATCTGCTGGTGTGTTTATAACCATTCCTAACACAACCCTGGTTCAGTGAGAGTGTGCCATCTCAATTAATCACTGATTAACTCTTTAGCAACGGGACCTTAGTGCCAGTTGTGATTGCTATCTGCAAGCAGAGTCACCTGAGAGTGCAGGATGCTCTCAGTCTCTGGGCATTCCCTATTCCCACCCAAGTCCTGTAAGAAAACCTCTGCAGGACGAGATGGGAAAAGATTCATTGGGAAATGCAGGGATGTTTTGCCAGATCTGGGAGTGGAGATAGCTCACAGGAGGGATGCTTTGCCCTTCCCAGTTTCCAAGCCATGACAGGTATAAACTGCTGTTGATTCAGAAACTTGCAGTGTGTGCAAAACATTAACTGTGAGAAATTGCATGCCAAAAACTGCACAGCCACAGGATTTCTTCAGATCTTTCTGCTACTATTTCACAGCTACCTGTCTTCACTAAACTTTAGTGCTGTAATTCAACCACCCCTCTTCCCCCCAGCCTCTCCTTTTTTAACTAACACTCCAATTATCACTGCTGGTTTTCCCTGATAAAACTACACCAACATTTACTAAGCAGCTGGTAAATGAGCCAAGAGAGAACAAAACTGCATTAGGATGATTACCTTGGTGGGAAATAGGGTCTGATCCAAAGTCAGGTTGGAGTCTGTACTCTGATATCCAGTTTTCCTGGATTGGATGGAAGAGCCCCTCCAAACAGCTCCCAGCACTGGAGGAGGTAACCAGCAGTGATAACAGCCCTGACTTTCTGGGTAAGTACAGGAATGGCATTTATTTGCCTGGCAGCTTGTCAAAGCTCCCACATGTATCTGGTTACTGACTTTAAACTTGACCATCTGGTTATTGGCCAGGTAAATTGTGGCTGATATCCCAGTCTGATTTCCATTTCAAGCTGTGTTCTAGAGAGCACAACTGCTGATGTCAGTGGAGACCTTTCTGAGCAGGAGATCCAGTCCCCTTGTTCCTGCCAAATGTCAGGAGCAGGTTTTGCACATTCCCTGACCTAGACCACTCCTAAAATCACAGTGCCAGGGCAGTTCTCCACCAAATTCTCTATGGCCCAGTGATAGATGATGACAGTTTGACAGCTGCACATCAAAAGGGAAGCTCTCATGCAGTGCCAGGCACAGGGAACCCCCTTGTCTCCTGTCAGTACAATGTCCAGTGCTATGCCATGTACCCATTTTTTTTGTTATTGTACTTGTACATGTGTAAACTGCAGATGTTTGTTTTGTCTTTCAGTCATGAGGCTGTAAGATCAATGTTCCACACACAGATGAGGTGGGTCGGTCTTGAAAGCATCATTCTCCTCCATTACCCTGTACCCCTCATGCCCTGTGTTTAATGGAAAAGATGCAAAGACCCCACTGGGCTCCCTCTGTTTATTCCAACTTCCACTTTTCCTGTTTTCTAAACTTCTCCTCTTCCCCTGTGTAAAGCCCCACTAAACCCAAACCTCACTTAACTCTGCATTTTGTAGTAAATTAAAATGATAGTGGTAATACTGTGACTGTCTTCCCCAGGGTGAATTCCCTCTCTGCCTTCCCACCCTCTCCCTTGGCTTCCTCCCTGTCAGTATTTCCTTCTCTACTTCTCATTTCTCCTCCCCTGACCATGGCAAGAGCATGAAAGTCAGAACAAGGTCTTGCTAATCTTGTACAGCCCAAAATAAAACCTTGCATATTAGGAGATGAGAAATGACTGTGTAACTGACATACTAAATACTCCATGTTCCTCCTGCAACAAACTGTGCCCGAGGAATGTGTCACCTACAGTAGCAGTACCATGAGATGTAGGTTTCAGTTCCTTTTTATTGTAATCCATGATTAATGTTCCACCTTTTAATGATGCCACTGTTACCTGATCCAAACTAAATAAATCACAAAATTATGTGCAAAAAAAAAAAAAGTCTTTGCTTAACTCATGACATTTGGTATATTATAGTCAGTGTTCTTAAGGGGACACTGTAGTCTTTAAAATTTAATTTCAAGCAGGCATGCATTTTCCTCAAAGAAGATGTGAAATACATCTGAAGTATTCACCACTTCTTCATCACTGAATCTTACTCAGTACATTATAGATAGGGCCATAAAAAAAGGAGGAAAAGAGTTTCACTTCTGATTAGAGTTGCTATTTGGGGCAATTTGAGTTTTGAGCTATCAGGCACTTGCTGTGCCTGTGCATGCAGCTATCAGGGTCCCTGCTGCTCATGGCAGACACTGGGGAAAGAGCCCATGACAAGCTCAGTGGTGTGCTCCTGGCTGACAGTGTCTCTTTAACTACAGTATTTAAAATATGCCATGTGTTTCCTGGCTTACCCCAAAGGCTATCAATCCCCTCCACACAAGGGATGGCTGCTTAAAATACCCCTACGGTGCTTGGGCTATCAGGGGCATCATGAAAGTCAGAGGCTTGATTTTGCTTCTTTGGTTGCATGACTCACCTTAATGAGGATCCTGTGAAGTGTGAAGAGGAATGTTTATATGTGTAAACTTTTCAGATGGGAATTTCTCCTTTTTGTGCACTTTTTCTCCTGGAGTAGCTGGTTGCACCTTTGTCTGGCATTTTCCTGTGGTTGTGACATAACTAATAGCTGCCCTTCATGACAGTGGCATGTTTGGTGATAAATTTTGTATGCAATATGTTGCTGATATGGCAACACCCAGAGAAGATCAAGACCAGCCTTGGAGAAGAATTTTGACAGCAGCTTTACCAGAGCTGGAAGACTCAGAGCTACGCCCTTGGTACTGAGAGCCTGTGACAGGAATTCCAAGAGAATTAGAAGGAAATTACAGGAGAATTAAAATCCCTTTGCAAAAACATGATCACACAAAATAATGCCCTCCCCAAAATGCTTACTTTTAAAGCACCTGGTGATACCTGTGAGTGCTCTGCCACCTCTGCCTTTAGTGAGGCTTTTGTTGGGTTCCACCTAGAGCACCTCATGTTCAGGGGGGAGCCAGCAGGTCCCCCCCAGCTCCATCTCAGGGCAGACATGTACATTAAACACACTGTTGAGCTCACCAGGAGTTGGGAGAGGAGGCTGATACAAAAGAACCACCTCACAGTTGGCATTTGATGGATTTTTTTTCCCCATTCTGGCCAAATTCTTTAGCCAGTTGTGCCCATTTAGCCCCTACTGCTGAGAGATTCACTATGTATAGTGAAATAGCAAGGAAAATAGTTTTGAATCTCTACATTATTTAAGACCTTTTGCAGGGAAAAGCAGGTACAAAAGTCTGGCTTTCCAAATCCCATCATCAGGGGCTTGCCATGGATTTCGGTAACAGAGATTGGCAATTGAATTGTGGTAATTATTCAAATGAGCTATTTAAAAATAGACTCTCTCCAGATAATAATTTCTCAGCTTTTATGTGGAAATACATGAATAGGGTGAGGGCATCTCTTATGTAGCACCCAGAGGGAATTTGTCTTAACTTTTCAAAGTGAAAATGATACCAAAGGCAGCAGAGCTTGGGATCTGGGAGTATAGCCAGGGGTGTGTGGGTAGCATGCAAAGCAGTTCTTAAAAAAAGACCCAAAATCCAAACTCAGCATTTTGGTGTGTACTTCTGATCTCAATGTTTTTTAATTCTGGTGAGATCTCCTGCAACAAACTAAAAGCTAATGAGTAGGTCCAACCCCCATATGGATAAAGTAATGGAGCCATAACCTCTTCATAGCTCAGACCTTCACATATCCCTGCCAAGGACTTGTAGAGGGGCAGGAAAAACTGGTGTGGCTGTGTTCTTGCTCTGTATTCAGCTAACCAGAGTGAATTACCTCTGCCCTGCCTCCCTGAGGAGTTAAAGCAGTGCCTTAGGGCGAGGGCTCACCTCTGCAAGGCAGGGCAGGCAGGATTTGTCCCTGATGGCTCTGAGCCTGCACTTGTGCTTCTGCTGCTTCTCCAAATGCACATCCCATCTCCTCTGCCCTCAGGATCGAGCTGCGGGCCCTGAACAAGATTTCTCCGGGGGATGAGCTGACTGTTTCCTACGTGGATTTCCTCAGCCTGAGCGAGGAGCGGCGGAAGCAGCTGAAGAAGCAATATTACTTTGACTGCACCTGTGAGCACTGCAAGAAACAGCTCAAGGATGACCTGATGCTGGCAGTGAAGGCAGGGGAAAGCAAGGTATGGTTTGTCCTGCAGTGTCCAAACCCAGTGGTGGCTGCACCTCCTCTACCAAGGCATCTGTGGGTCTCTAGGACTGTGATTTCTCAGCACAGGGACACTCAGTAGGAACAGTCAGATTTTGGCAAAAGTATGACTAATACCCATGCAAAAAAATAAGAACAGAACTGGACCTTGATTGGACACAACACCAATTCAAGCCCATCATGCAAGGCCAGCTTAATCCTAATTATGCAAGATAAGTACAGTTTTTAATTTAAGAAGTTGACTTTAACCTAAAAGTCCATCAATAGACAGAACGCAAAAATATTGGAAAATTATTCCAGAGCTGAGAAAAATGCTGGCATTTAGATTGTGGTTGGTTTTTTTTTTTTTTTTTCTGAAAAACTGCAAGGGAATCTACATTTTGAGCACAGAAGAGAAATGTGTTGCAGGTGATCCATGGTGACAGGACTAACGAGTGCTCCATGGTTTGTACCATCACACTGGCTCCAGGGATGTGGGAAGCCTGAACTTCCTCTTTGCAAAGGCCTGTCACAAGGAGTTTGCACCATCACTTGACATTATTGCTTGCTTGTTGCAGGCAGAGTGACTGAGAATTAACATTTTTAACTGCTCATTTTTAAGTAATCTTTCTTTTCCTTGGAGGTCTCACAAGGCATCAAGTAGAAGGGTATAAGGCTGTGTCATGCTGTTGGCAGTGGGATGTGTTGCTTGGTCAGCAGCTCCAGTTTATGAGTGTGCTGGCAGCTTTAAGAGTTTCTTTTCAGTTCCTTTGCCCAAGGATACAATTGCTCATGGGTTTTGTGCTCTCTGGCAGTGTTAGCTTGGGGGTTTCTACTCCTGCAAGTCTTATAAAATCTGTAAGGGAAGGCAAAGCAAGCAGAGCAGTAAGTGTGTCATCAAGTCATTGACCTGCACTGTTGAGCAGTCACCCCATGAATCAGACAGTTCAGCTCTGGGGATGATGTGGAGCAAGAGGGAGACAAACAGAAAAGTTGGGATGAGGAAATATGACCTCACAGAAGCAGTGCCACCAGGAGAGGCCCAGTGAGATGCAGCTTCCTGGGAAGGAGCACAAAACTCTGAGCCTCCCTCTCAGGAGGTGCCAGGAATCCAAGCTCTGTCCTGGAACTCTTTCAGAGAAAGGGCAGCCAGGAAAGGCTGGATATTGCAGAGGGTAAATCTCGCCTTCAGAAATGTTTAGAGGAATAGTGCAGAGCTGATATAAGGGCACTCCCTTATGGGAGACAGGAGATGGGACTAGAGGAGATCCTTTCCTTGCTGGGTCAAGTTCTTCTCTGGTGCGAAAGACCCTGCTATATAACCCCATTTTAAATTGTCAAGCTTCATCTTACAGCTAATCCTGACTACTGTACTTCTCCACTTATAATACAAAGCTGTCCCAGAGCTCAGTTCTCTGATGCAGAAGGATTTTTATCTGGCTTTCTGCAGGAGTATTTTTGAACACATTCAGCGGTAGGCAACGTTAAAAAAATCTCATTCCTCTTTCAACACCTGCTATCAAGCCTCGACTGAACAGTGAGACCGTGAATCACAGAATGCTTTGGCTTGGAAGGGACCTTGCAGAACATCTCATTCCATCTGCCCCACCATGAGCAGGGATACTTTCCACTAGACATGCACCATCCCCTTTTTGTGAGTATTAGAGGTGCTGCACAGCACACAGCAGGAAAACATGCACTTCTGGGGGAATGTCCTCCACAGTCTGAAGTGTGTGCAAGGTGCACGATTTCAGCTATTAAAAATACACCCCATCCACAGACAATAAGTATCCAGGCTGACCTCACCCACAGAACACGCTGGCTGTGTCGCATTTCCTGAGCTCAGGCACGCTTGCCTGGGAGCAGCAGCGCTCACAGCTGCGTGGAAAAAGCGCCAGGAATACATGGGAGATCAACAGCTTCCATCCTCAACAGCTGCTCCAACCTCCAGCCCTTCACCCCTTCCAAAGAGTAGCAAAGTTCCCATTGTTTATAGTGGCAACTGACTTAGAAGTCTAGTAAAGGCAAGGGAGGATTTTTATTAGAGCCACTGTGGAAATGCTATTTAAGGTCCCTATTCTGGGAGCCTTGAGTCAGACAGCACAGCAATGTGATTTGCACTGATGTTAACATCGCCTTTGGATGTGCTCTGTGCCCCAGGACACCCTGTGTGCTGCTCAGCTGCCCAAATCTGATTAGCTACAATAGCTTCAGCATAAGACTAGAGAAAATAAATCATAACACAAAAGTATCCATAAAGAGATAGGGGTAAATGGATCTGAAAACTGGGTTTTCCTTCAGTACTAAACTTTGAAGAGGATTTCCCAACTAGATGAATTTCAGTTCCTCAAAAGTCTGATCGACCAGGTGTGGAAAAAAGACAATAGGACAGTCCTACAGTCCTGACTCCCAATCTTTGCATCCTTCATTGCAATGTTGGGACTCTGCTTTTAATCTACACCCAGAGGTCCTTCCTGGCTGCTGGCTCTGCTGTGTGTCTCCAGACCAGGCTCTTCCCAAAAACTCCCAGAGTCACGTGACTGTGGGCTGATTTCAGATTTCCTCATTTATGAAAAGGAAGGTGAGCTAGAATAGTTAGAAAATGTAAATTTGAAGGACTCAGAGAAGCAGAACATGAATGGTTGTGCTGGATATCACGTTATATTTCATGTATCAGATACCATGTTATATAAAGGAAGAATGGTTATTTAGAACTAATGACAGCATTTCTCAGGGTAGGTAAAATTCAGGGATCTCTCCTATTCCACCAATCTCTCATTCAAGAGTCTCATTTCTCTCTAGCAGCTGCACTAAGAGCACCTGATACTCACCAGCTGGGGGCTTTCACAGCCTCTTGGGTATCTCATGAGACCTCTCAGCTGCAGGGTGAATTCTGTCCCTTTTCCAGAGGGGAGAAGTGGCAGGGAGAGTTGAGGAACCTAGTCATGCATGGCAGAGGCACATGGCCACTACCCTGATGGGCAACACTCCCACTGAAGTCAGCAGGAACTTCACCTTTTGACCTGGAACTGGGACCACTGCAGCTCATTTCAGCCTTGAGCAAGTCTGAGGGGCACACTGGTGTCTCCAAACAGCAGTAGGAAGTGGTGATGTGGGAAGCATCCCACTAAGCTGACTTGGACCAAGCATTCTTTCAGCCAATATATTTTGGCATGTGTGAGGCAGTGCATTTTCCTCATTGGTTTTCCTGCTGTTGTTCCCAGCCCTCTGCAGACACGGTGAAGGAGGTGATCCAGCTCTCCAAGGACACGCTGGAGAAGATCAACAAGGCCCGCATGGAGGGAAATTACCATGAGGTGAGTCCTGGTACTTCTGCTCTCTTTCTGCACACACAGTGCCCAGGAAAGGAGGCCTTGTCCCCCTCTAAATTCATGATCTATGGATAAAACAACTGTAAAGCACAACCGTGTCTGAGGCATCCCAGACCAACTTCTTCTGTAGTGACAATGCAAGGAGAGTCAGGTGGCTTCCAGCACCTCTCACTGACACAGGTGTTGAACCCTGGCTCCTGGGTGAAACTCATGAGTTACAGGACAGGGGTAACAAGCCAGCTCTGCCAGGCAGCCTTACAAGAAGGACAGTGGGTTTGGGAGTGTAACAAGACCATCAGGGGGTTTTGTGTTGATCTCTTCAGTGCCTTATGTTGCTCATTTTTTGGGTGCTGAGGATAGGTGTGTGTTTTGGGTGAACCATGTCCCACCTTGGAGCCCAAGCTACAAGGGCAACAGGTGAAAGAGCTCAAGTAATTCCCTTTTTTCTTGCTCTTTTGCTCACCCAGGAAATATTTAATTATTCTCCTCAGAGAGTTCTCCAGTAATGACCTCTGGGTTTTAAATGACTTTGGGAAAAGGCTGAAGCCCCCTAGAACAGAAAGAAATCTGGACACTGACTCATGGCTAGGTCAGGCATGGAACAGTGGAGCTCTGTGTCTCCAGCCCCAAGGGGTCATTAGGAATATTCCTTGCATTGAATATTTTCAGGAGGCTGGGTGGATGGCACTGGGGTATAGGAGCCCCATGGGCACTTGGTATCTGACAATACCCAGCCTCCCAGAGTCCTTCTTCTCCTGAGCAGTAGACATCACTTTTTCCTCACCAGTTTTATGAGTGTAACCCTGGGAGAGAAAGCTGTGAGTGCAAATCATTTTCCTAGGCTGGTGTTTCTTAACAAATCAAAGCACATCCTCTCTTCCCCAACCTTCACAGAGGCTAGCTCAGCCTCTGGGGCTGGTGTGGACTGTGCAAACCACAGGGTCTTGGTGTGGCAGCTTCAGGCCCAAAGGTGCTTGGCCTTACCCTTTCTCTCCCTGCTTGCTCCACACTCAGGTTGTGAAGCTGTGCCGTGACTGCCTGAAGAAACAGGAGCCTGTGCTGGGGGACACGAACATCTACCTGCTGAGAATCCTCAGCATTGCCTCCGAGGTGCTCTCCTACCTCCAGATGTTTGAGGAAGCAGCTGACTATGCCAAGAGGATGGTGGATGGCTACCTGTGCGTCTGTTCCCTACTTTTGGCAGCTCTCTGTGCTCATGCCATGTTAAGCAGTGTGATACAGGAATAATTTTCTTAGTCTGCTCCCATCAGGGCAGTGGTGGTGAAATTCATATGGGACCTTTTTGTACCACCAGAGAGAGAGAGAGAGAGAGATCCCTTCTTAAATGCACACAGGCTCCCAAACACCTTGATTCACTAAACTGGAACTGGCAAATGGTTTAGGAACATCTTCCAAGGGCCTTTTTGTTTTTCTCAGAAGCATCTCATGGCTGGCCTGATAGCAAGACACAGTGCCTGGGTGCAGGACAAAAGGGCTGTGACTGCAGGAGATAGTCTGTTCCCTGCACCCTGCAGGAAAGAGGGATCAAAGAGAAACCATGTCAAATGGCTGTCACTCAAGATAACCCCTCCCTCCTGAATAGTACATGGATTTTGTCTTGGCTAATTATATTGTCCCGTGGTAAAAGCTTAGTGAGAATAAAGAAATTCAGGTTTAGTTTACATAGATCCAGGGTAAGACTCACATTAAAAATTATGTGCTTTATTATTACTGAGGTTTTATGACATGATTGATGAGTACTTAACAGAAGGAGGGGAAAAAAAGGAAAGAAAGAAAAATAATGGAAACTGTAGAGAAGAGAGAAAAACCTAATTCATCATCTCAGTCACTCTCCAGCTGAGGGCATCTCATACTCATTACTTGTATTTTTGGTCATTTCTACCCCAAAAGACCTGTTATGTTTTGTTCCTTTGCAGTGGGGTGACAGAGTCACCTCCCTGGTTTGCAGGCCTAACAAGCAACTTCGTGTCCCAGCCCTGGCACTGAGCTAATTGACTGAGAGAAAATTCCTTCCCCTCTGTGTTCCTCAATTTTTCAGATCATGGTGAGGACCTTGGTAGACTCCTTTCTTGCTTTAAGTGCCAATTCAGAATTCCAAAGTAGCCCTTGAAGGCAGGTTTTCAGCTAAGTCCAAGCAGCTTCTAACTCTGCTTCAGCTTTTAAAGCTGGATGCAGAGGAGAGGTTTCATTTATCCCACCTTAGCCACAGAAAACTCCCAGATGAAGAGATGCATCTGGAGAGGGTGAGATGAACATTTCTGGAGTTTCTGGAACCACCTGTTTCTCTTCCCATTTTGAATGAGAAACTGCTGCTGGTTGCATTGTTACCCCACTAAGTGTGTTGAGCTGGTGCCAGCTGGGCTGAAGGGTCAGATCTCTGTTCTGTTTGTACCAAAATACTGACAATGTTATCTTGGCATGAGATGACAGAGCTTGGCTCTCTCCAAGCCAGGTGTTGAACTTTCCCAGTTCACATCCCATCTTTCACAACTCGTGTCCCCATAAAGCTCTGTCCTTGAGTAATGTGTCCTTGCCCCTTTCTAAGAAGGGCACATTTCGGGGGCACTGGCTGCAACAGGCTCTTAACTCAGTAAACAATCTGCTCTTTGGCAAGCGTATCATGTCAGTGACACTTTTGGGAACCCAGATTTCTCCTGAACTAAAATGACCCAATGTTTTTCCAGAAAAATTTACCATCCCAACAACGCGCAGCTGGGGATGGCCGTGATGCGGGCAGGAGTGACTCACTGGCACGCTGGCCTCATTGAAGCTGGCCATGGCTTGATTTGTAAAGCCTATGCCATTCTCCTGATAACCCACGGACCTTCCCACCCAATTACCAAAGACCTGGAGGTAGGTGTCATCTCTTGTCTTGTCTCTGCTCTCCATCTGGGAAAGATTACAGTCAGGGTGTAGAAACAACCACTCATAAGAGCTGAGAGATGTATTAAGTGCTGATTGCTTCTTACTAGTGCTGTGGTTTTATCTAGATTATGTTACATACATGCATGTCCTTTCTTATTGGAAAGTTTCATCCCTGAAAAACAGCTTTTATTCTGCACCAGAACATGTATGAGAAATTGCAGCAGAGTCCCTGAATCTTCCTTGAAATTGCTATGCCAAAAGACAGAGTCCCCCCCATTCTTCCAATAAGGCTGATTTCATTGCTCTGGGATGGATGACATATCAAATTACATGTAGTGGATGTCCCCAGTTTACCATCTGATTTTCTTTATTGGTGTTCATTCTTCTTTATTTACCACTTCCCACTCGTTCTCAGCAGCAGTGTATTTTTCCTCAGATGACTGATAGATGGATTTCCCAGCTTAGAGTCAAGAGTGGAGATCTCAGGCAATTACATCTGCTCAGATGTGAGGAATTATTTACAATTGCAGCTGGGGATCTGTAATTCTTTAGTCCCCTAATTCACTTCATGTGACCTGTTTGCTTTATAGCATTCTCCTGTATTACCCCCAAAATATTATAGGATATCAGATGAAATCCTTTATTGATGTCTTAGTCCCCATATAGCAGAGCTATAACCTTTATTGGTGCACTTTTATATCTTCAGAAACATTAATATCTGCTACCTAAAGCCAACCTGTTAATTGTTTCCATATATGTAGCAAATGATAAGACAGAGCACCTCCATTTCTGTGTTTCTCTTTACATTTTAGGAAGAACATAATGGATCTATTGCACATGCTCCTCTCTGTGCTCCTAAACAAAGGGTTAAATAAACACACAGGTGTAAAAATATATCCTAGAATCTCTTCTGATCCTCTGCTATAATGCAGCACTAGGAATGACTGCTGCTGCTGAATCCTGGGCTATAAAGGGTGCAACTGTGGGACCGAGCCACCCTCTTCTCCCACTTGAGGTGATTCCCACACCGGTGATGGGCCACCCCAAGGGCCAGGCCCAGGGTGTGGATGGGAAGTGCACTCATTTCCTGGCTCTGCACAGCATCACTTCTAGGCCCTGCATCTATTTTGGGGGCATGAGGCTTCCCAGTAGCCTGTGGAAAATTGGGATGTGGGAAAGGCTGATGCCTTCTTCAGTACACAGGCAAATGAAAAAGGAGCAGAGTTTCTGTGTCCAGTCAGCTTTGGTGCTGCTGGTGGGACACAGAGGGCAAGGTGCCTCAGTCACTGCATGGCCTAGGACATCCCCTGGGGACAGTGCCCGATACTGGCAGTGTTTGATTCTCCTGCTTGGAGGTCCCCTGTGTCACAGGGCTGTAACCTGCTGTGTCCCTCAGGTCATGCGTGTGCAGACGGAGATGGAGCTGCGCATGTTCCAGCAGAATGAGTTCATGTATTACAAGATGAGGGAAGCTGCCCTCAAGAACCAGAAGATCCAAGTCATGCCTGAACCCAGCAATGAGAATGCACCAAGCCTCTTCCACAAAAAGGAATAAGCCTGGAGCTTGACACCGATTCATGCCTGCAGGGTGACATCACCTGTGGCACTTCCAAACACTGGGAATGTGATACAGCAGAGTGATATTTCCACAAGGGTTGTTTCCAGTGGCACAAGTCTGACAGCACGGACCTGCTGGGGGAGGATCCTGAAAACGCTTCTGAGGGCTTAAAGCAGAAGATGTCCTGGCAGAAACAAGATCCCTTTTCTATCACTAAGGCATTAAATAATCAAAGCAAAAAACCCTGTTATAAAATTATTTACATTTTTATTGGAAGCCTGTTTCTCTCTACACATGTCCTGATTCTGAATTCCTTTGTTAAATTTTGACTGATTTTTCCTAGGGGATTCTACCACTTCCTTGGGATGACATAATTTCTTTCCAGTGGTGGCCATGGGATGATAGAAGTGGGAAGCCAGTTCCAAAAAGTGTCATGTACACCTGTGGGCAATGAATACAAACTGAAAAAGACCCACAGATGGTATTTTGTGTTAAATGATATTTTTCTGATGAAAAACTGCTGGAAAATGATTTTGCAGCTGACACAGGTGCAACATCAAACTGGGGGCCATTTACAAGTGAGACTAACTGTAATCCCTACATCGAGATAAATTGAGATAAATTATAATCCTTAGCTAGAAATCAGAAAATGTGTGCAGTGATGGACATGGGGCCATGCCAGAAGCCAGTGCTATAGCTCGGTGCACTGGCTGTGCTAATTGTTCTAACTGGACAATCAATTTCCAGGGAGGGGAATCCATCCTTGTTCATATTTAGGGTGAGCTGGGGGCTCTGATGCCTTAAAACACCTGCCTTTTAACTTAGGTGTTTAAGATTCAATGGCCCATTAACAGAAGATATCCCCCTGGAGGGAGGATGGGTCCTGGAAGAGATAAAGAACACTGCCCTACCTGGTTTTAACAGATGGTAATACAATACATACTTTTGGTTATATTTTGCATTGCAACCCAAGACAAATGGCTAAAGATGAAGTTCTAGATAAAGAAAGATATTTCTAGTATTTGTTGTCTGGCCATATGTCTCAAAATCCAACTGATTTCCTGCAGACTTTCAGTAGCAGCCAGGAGAGGAAAAGGTTTATTCAAGAATCTCCTTCTTGCTCCTCAGCACAACAGCAAGAAAACAAAGCCAGGGCTTTTCCTCTGACATTTCTCAGTGATTTTGCTGATGATTCTCCAGATCTGATTTCACTAAAGACCAACATCTGCTTTTCAGGCACTGTTCAGCTAAACCCTTCCATTTGTCTGTAGGTGCCTCTGCTGCCCTGTGTGATAATCCATATTGGTTCAGTTCTTGGCATGAGGATCAATGTTGATCTGTAATATGAAAAGCTTTCCTGGGCAGAGAGGAGTCCTGGCACCAGTCTTAGAAAAGGCAGATAAGAGGAAAGAGTTTCCTGTGTGCAGCAGGAAACCATATCTCCATTTGGCCTGAAGTGCCAAGCAAGAGTACAGGAGATGACATCTGTCTACACTGTGAACAACCAGCCCATCTCTGGGAGACCTGTATTTCACCCTGGAAGAAGTGTTTAATTCCATTTCAACACAATTAATTTGGATTAATTAATTAATTATTTTGGATTAATTAGTCCATTTCAACCCATTTTATCAGGTGCAGCTGGGGGTGAAGCACACACTGGATACTTGAAGGCAGTTGTGACCCTCCTGCTGGTGGGAAGGGGTGGGGAAGAGATGGGGATGGGATGGCCAGAGCCTATAGGGCTGGATTCTACTGCAGAGGTGTGAGGATGAAGACAGCAGCAGGTAGCCTGTGCTGGTTTCTTTTCCAAGGCAGCTTTCCAAACAGGATCACTGGTGCTTCCTTGACTCCACCTAAACCACCCCAAATTCTTTGGCCCTGCTGGTCACTCTGATCACTTTGGCCATGTCTGTAAGGAAAGGGAACAGAGTCCTTTTCCTGCCCAGTGCTCCTCAGCCCAGATCAGCTGTGGGTACAGAACCCACCAGGGTATCCCCAGGATGCTGGCAGCTGTCCTCAGGAAAGAGTTGGAGAACACTCATCATGTGTCACTCAGTGGTTCTGAGCCTGTGCTCCAACTCAACTCCATTCCCCAACATCAGCACACCCTTAGCCCACTTTGTTGCCCAATTTCTACCACTGCTTCCATGAGCTTTGGAAGCTTGTGTCTATAGTAGCAGTGAAGAGGTTGATGACAATGAAGATGTTTTAATAAAATTTTTATTTTAATGGACACATTTTACACGGTAAAATACTGGCAAATATAAGATTTCTAGATTCTCTTGCTGACTCTCTTCAAGGTGATGTCACCCTTGGTCATGGACTGAAAAAGAAAGGGAAAGTGTTAGCTTTTTATGAATTCATAGAATTCAGCAATGAGAATGCATCAAGAATTCAAGAATCGTTGACTATCTCAAGTTGGAAGGCACACATAAGGATCATCATGGTATTCAGCTCCAAACTGTACTTAGGATCTGGTCTTGCAAATCAAAACTGATCCCCAGTCTGTCTCTTATAAACTGAATTTTTTAAGCTTTGGATTTCTTCAAGAATACCTCACAGCAAGTAGGGCTAAGCTAGCATCCCTCAGCTGGGATCAGTTTGCTTCACCTTTCTTCTCTAAAAGTGCCAAGCACCTGTTCCTCTGGCTGGGTGAGAACACACCCTGATTACCAGAAACTTTGATCAGCTGTGCCTAAACTGGGGTCTTAAAAAATACCCTCTGGATCATACTCTAATGAGAAACTGCCTTCAGTTCCTGGCTGCAGAGCCTGTGTGCAAGCATGTGCTCTGCTCCAGCACCTCCCAGAACCTCTGTAGCTTCCTAGGACCAGGCCTGTGAAGGCAGCTCTGTTATTTCAGCCATTGCCCTTCTATACTTACGTAGATGATGGTGTCTCCATTGAGCTCTGTGACGGATTTCATGCCTTTCACCTGTGTGACCAGTTTGTTGTTACCCTCCATCTGCACAACAGCCTGGTAGAAGACAGAAGCATTCATGTTATTGCTGGGGACCACCTTGACCCCTGCATTTTGTCCTTCCCCTGCTGTAGCAGGAGGGGACTGCAGAGCCACCTAAGCTGCACATCTAAAAAGGCTACAGACAGCACCAACACCCTCTCAGGGTGGCTGTTGCTGATCAATGAAATTAATCAAATAAATAAGACAGCAAAGCCCATTTCTGTTTATCTGTCCTGCCCAGCTATAAGATGTGTTTGTTTGCCCTTGAGCTGTTGATGTACAGAGGCTAAAACTCTTTTAATAACTGTTTCCCCCTGGTCTATGCCAAAGAGAGTGGAAATCACGACACAGCTGGTGCAGCTCTCAGAGCCCCTTTCATGGGGCATTTCTTTGGTGATCATCCCTCCTGCTTTCAAAAGTCCCTGCAATTCCATCTTCCCCTGAGGCAGAGATGACAGGCAGTATTTGCCAGTGGTGTTGCTGTGACATTCTATGAACCATTGGAAACTAATGTCCAGAAATGGGAGCTGACCCAAGTTCAAGAGTGGTAACTCCTGACCATGCTGAGCCATCTCACCCAGGATAACCTGAAGCAGTGGGAAAGGCTAGCAGAGAAGCTAACAGCTACTGGGACTTAAAAGGACAGATTTATTGGTTTATGATTCATTGTCTGATTTTCCTGCACTACCTTTGAGCCAACATAATTAAGGTGGAGGTATGTTTTGTGTTGCAACATGACACAAAGTCAATCCTTTTCCACCTCAAATCTTTCAGAACTCTTCCTGACAAAACATTTTATTAAAGTCTCTCTAGCCTCCTTTTTCAAATGGGGTATTGAAACACTGGCTTCTAGTGTTTTCTAAAGTGACTATTAAAATAGATTCAGAAATGCAAGGCTTCTTCTGTAGGAAGTGCAGTACATTAATTAATACCTGTGGTGTGGTCAGTCCCTTTGCTCATATGCAGAGGGAATTGTTGGAAAGGAAATTTAATGTCCCTGAGCCCCCATAGCAGAGGAGGGGTTGCTCACTCACCTTTATTTTCTCTCCAGTCATCAACTCTATCTCACTCTCCTCGCCAATGGTGAACGTGTTTTTTATCACTTTGGAGCCAGTGGTCACAGTAACCGTGAACTTTTTCCCATCCTGGACAATTTCTGAGATGCTCTTGAGGTCCTTGCCCTTCTGGATCTGGTCCTCAGGGAGCCCTGCCCAGGAACAAGAGACATTGAGTGAACGGTGGAGCCATCTGTGGGCAGATTGCTGCCGCTGAACAAACTAATTTGGGGTTTGGGGACCTACAGTTGGGAAAATTTCTATTCCAGTGTGGAAAAACCTTTCAAGGATGATGCTTCCCCAAGAGCCATATGTCCCTGAGTCTGCTGGGGAGGAAGATTAATACTGTCATCCTGAATTTTGTGTGGGAGCTAGACATGTGCTGTGTCTTGCTGACCTGACTGAGAGCACAAACATCACCTCCCCATCTAAGAATAAATCCTGCTTCCCTTCCTTTACTGACAGGCAAGGAAAAATGGATTGAACCAAGAGAGAATAAAGGAACAAAGTGTGTTTTTTATGAGATTCATGGTTCCTCAGAACCAGCTTATAAAATCTTCTCCCAAAGCCTGAAGGTGATCTGACAGGTAGAGCCCTTCTGGCACATAACTGTGCAGAAATAGTGCAAAGCCCCCTGGATCCCTGCAGGACCACATTTCCTGTCACAGACAGAAGTGTAAATCTATCAGACACATTCATCATTTAGCATTTAAATAGCACCAACTATTTTTCTGATGAACAGTGGGATGTGAGGCTTTGGAACATCACAGCACAGTGGCTGAGCAATGTCCCGCCTGCCCTCAAATTTCACAGCCTTATGGAGCAAATCTGCAGTGCCCCTAAGCCACCAAGGTCCTGCTGGCTTATCGTGTGTGTGCAGCACTCAGCCACACTGGCCAGTGGCTGCAGAACCTGCCAGGACTGACTTCCTGCAAGTCACAAAACTTCACCCATCATCTCTTGACCCCCAGCCCCAGCCAGAGAGAAGCTTTCTCTTCTACTTTGAGATAACATCTCCACACAAATACATTTAAAATCCCAATAACTACAAGGTGACAGACAGAAACAGGAAATCTCAGAGATGCCTCAGTCTGCAACATCAGCATGGTTGGCTCCCAAAAATCAGTGGGATCTGCAAAGACAAAGCAGCACATAGCACATGCAGGCACTTACCCATGGCTCTCATAAAGGGCTCAAAGTTTTCCTGGGACTGGAGCTCATATTTTCCAGTGAAGCTCATGGTGGAAAGGCTCTCTGTGCTCCCAACACAAGAGAAGGTGCCTTGCTGGTAAGCAGAGCTTGGTTTTATATCATCCTTCTGCCTTAAAAGTTGGCCAGAGGTAGGATGATGTAATTGGTTTATGGGCATGTTCAAACATTAACGTAAAACTGGGCAATGGTCAGTGATAAATTGCTCTGCATTTTACAGACCACAATTTACAACGTGGGGGCAGGGAAAACCCCATAAAATCCATTTTATGGAGGTCGCAATGTGGCATCTATAAACAAATTATGAGAAAAAAATAATAGTGCAAAGAAGATCATTATCAGAGGAACGAGCCAAATAATCTAATGAGTCTGCAGTCTGGCAGCACGTATCTGGGGGAGGAGAATGTGGTGACTGTGTGTCCCCTGGAGCTGACACTGGGGGGTTTCTGCTCACTGGTGTGTGCACGGTGGGTCTTTAGCACTGGCAGAATAGTGGTGGCACCCTGGCAGGGACTGACTCGCTCACAGACCTGTGCTGGTGAGGCTTGGTGTAACCCAGATAAAGCAGCAGCACAAACCCATCGTTGGCCTCTAAGAAAAATATTCAAAACGAAAATACTCCAGATAAATTCCTGGCCTTGCACTGGCCCACCTGAAGACTGCAGTTTGAAACAGGCTCCACCTCTATGGTCCTGTGGGGATAGAGCTGGTGCCATTAGTTATCTACCAAACCACTTTCATCTCCTTTCCCCATAGGAGCCACAGTCACTCATGTACTGAAGAAGCATTCCAGCCATTGGAGCTGCAATTCTCCCAAGTGCCACATCAGAAGGGCCAGCAGCAGCCTCCAAGCTGAGCCAAATTCCTCCCTCCAAAGCAGGACTCGGAGCTGGGCTCATCTTCCAGTGCTGTCTCTTTGGCTGAGTATCCCAGATTGTTTTATGGCATCTGAGCATCCATCCTCTGGGTCTGGACTCCTAGGCTTTTCTTCTTGCCTCAATTAATTCCTCCTCCCTCCCAAAATCAGCTAGCATCTTTGTCATTTTTTTAAATTGAAATCATGTATAAGAGTGAAAAAGACCTATCTCCTTCCAATTTGGAGATGCTGTCAGAACCTTCTGCTGCCATCTGTCCTGCTGCTGCTGCCTCAGCCGCGCTCTCCGTGCTGCAGTAGTGAGCCTCAGTTTCTGGTTAATTAGTACAAGCAGTGTCTGCCAGATGAGGCAAGAGAGGAAAATCCTTGGCTGGTGGGATGGACAGTGGATGAAGTTGGCTAAGTGGGAGGGAAATCCATAAGGGACATCATCCCTATGCATCATGTATGGAGCCAGGCAGAATGCTTCAGAGAGCATTCATGGAGGGGTGGATGGACTCAGCAGTTTCTCTAAACAGTTTTTTGGCGCTTTTTTTTCCCATTTTATCCCCTCAGGAACAATGTCACATTTTTATGCTTGCCTCAGGTGAAGAGCCCGGTGTCAGACAGGGCTGTGCTGACATGTCCTTTTTCAATGTCCTTTTCATGAGGACAGGGGTGACTGACCTCTTCTGCTGTGTCCTGGCAGCAGCCTGAGCTGGTAGACCCCTGCCTCCAGTCAGCCAACGTTCTCTGGCCGTGTGCCACCTGGAAGCACATGTGTGCCTCCCACATTTTTGTGTCCTGGAGCTCCAGCTGTTCCTCCAGGCAATTCAGGTCCCCTCTCTTTGCATGATGGGGAGAGACATTATGCTTGAAACCCTGCTTGAACTGCAGGGTTCCCAAGCCCACAGTGTCCATGGAAATAAAGCTCCTAAGGGCTGTATGTCATTCATCAAATGTTAAAAGGGGAATATAATTGTCCAGGACTCTCTTGGTAACTGGGCAGAAATTTTTCCTCTCACAGAAATGGACGACTCATGAGAGAATTCACCTCATTTAGAACCCAAGTTGTCTTCTGTAGGTATCCTCTCCTCCTCTGCTTACTGTGAATAACTATAACATATCTGTACTTCCGATTTGCAATTGCTTAAGTGAAAACTATGGATCACTGTCAGAAAATTTAGAAATGTGATCAATGAGCAAAAATAAATCTCTGTGTTTTGTTGGGTTCAACATTCTTTTATTTTCTTTAGCAAAGAAATGCAGCTTGTATTAAAGAAAGGAGAAATGCTCTCTTTTTAAAGAAAGGAGAAATGAAATTTTTCCAAGGTAATTATTATCTAGCCAGGCCTGCTGAGCAAATGGCAGGTGAGATAAACTTAATCTCAATAGCAAAGTTCAGAATATTTGTACATCTCCCCAACAGAAGACGGCATCTTTTAAAATATGATATCATTTTAACTTTTCAGAGCCAAGAAGAGGCCATGTTAATTGATAATTTGATTAAAGTAAATCCATACCATAAAACCTGAAATGTATGAAGGAAAAAGGAATGGATCATTTTCAAAAATTATTGAGGAAGCTACATCTTGAGGGAAGCCAGCAGGTACTTCTGTCTTTAAGTTGCTTTGAAAATAAAGCAGAGGGTCTTAGAAGCTTGTCAGAAAAAAAAAGACTGAAGTATCTTATTTCTGCTTTTTGCACCTGAATCAGAGATAGGGACACACAGAACTTCTCAAGAAAGAATATCACCAGTGGATCAGCCATGGTTTTGGCCAAATTTTAAACCCCACCTCCCCTGTCTCTCTGGCCACTCATCCTGCGTCTCCAAGACCGACCTCTTGAAGGAGAGGTGCTCAACCCAAACATCCCAAACTGCAATTTGTGGCTGGTGCCTCATGTTACAACATCTTCCATTATTAAGAAGAGCTTGGCTCTGTGACCTCTGTAGCTGCCTGTAGAGCAGTTGCATCTTTTTATGACATCCCCTCAACCCTTCCCTGGGATTCCTGAGCTCAGTTCTCACTTTCACTCAGTGTCTGGGAAGCCATGCTCCTACCTGCACTCCTTCTTGATGAATTGGACATTATGTCCAGATTTTGAGGTTTAAGTCTCCTGAAGAAAAAAAAAAAAAAAATAATAATCTCTCTGCCTCCTCCAGTTCAAACTGAAACTCTTAAATTAAGTTCTGAACTACAAAAATTACTTTACAGCTAAAGCAGTGTATGGGGAAAGGCACTTTCCTGTAGCCCAGAGGAGGGTCCCTGGCAGCCCTGTGGAGGTCTGGGAATGTCTTCATGCATCTCTCCTCTATCACCTCACTTGCTTCTCTTTTCTAACCCACTAGTGACTCCCCAGACTTCAGTGAGCCCAGCACCTCAGTGCTTTGGGAAGCCGAGGCTGGGCTCTACACTAGGATTTTCTTGCCCAAATGTGAAAGTTTAAAAGCCAGGACCTTTGATGATTCAGTCCTGGATTTTTCTAGTGCAGGTCCAGTTGAACACCCCAAAACCCCTAGCCATTTTTTTTTTTTAAAGCTTGGTCACAAGCTTGCCAGTCACAGATCCTCAGGTGGGCTTCCCGCTGTCTCAACCTATAGTATTGTTGGGTAATTCTATTTCTGCTGCCCTTGAACCTGGGAACTTGGTCTGCTGCCAGATTTTCACATTTCTGGTATGATTATTTGGAACCTCAAGGAACAAAGGTTTCCTCATCAGGCCACATGGCTTCATTGCATCGAAAGGTTGGATGGGCTGGAGAAGATGCTGCTGCTTCTGTGAGCTCTCCATCCCTCTTGGTTTTCTATGTGCTGTGTTACCAAGACAGCACTAAGATTAAGCACTTTTCCCAGATTTTTCTCTTTTTAAAATGGTCTTGGCTGTCTGCTGAGATTCCTGTTTCCAAGCTGTAACTTCCAAGCTGCAGACATGCAAGCGCCATTTCATACAGGTTTAGATTAGATATGTCATTATCAGAGCCGTGATAAGAATGCAAAAGCAGTAGCTTGTGCAGAGAGCTGCTGCTTGATAAAGCTTTCCATCGATGCTGATATTCATAGAAGGGTAACCCTCAGTCTTTGTCATCTTATTGTAAAGGTACCAAAGGGAGAAAAGGGTTGGTATTTCTTCTTCAAGGTCAAGGCAGCTCTATCACTGATAGCACAAGAGCCTTAGCTCTTCTTATCAATGGTCACCTAGGGAGCAGAGCTTACAGAAAGGTTGGACTTTGCTGCTGGGATCTTGCTCTAGAGTAGGAATAAAGCTGCTGGCTCTGTCATCCACTTTCCATTCTCTTACCTCCAACATCTGTGGTGTAGTGCTGTGGCCTCTCTCTAGGCACAGGGAGCCGTCTGTTAATGCCCCCAGAGAACATGCATTGTCCTTGCAGCTTGGCCTTCAGTGGGATGAGGCTGCTCTCCATGCCACAGCCCAGCTCGTGGAGGCAGGGTAAAGGGCTGAAAATGGTGTTCATTGCTTATGGAGCTAGTTTGTACCAGGGCAAGGAAAGAAAATGCTGGGAAAGAAATGGAGCCATTAGCAGTCAATGTTCTTGAGCGAGCAAAGTCTGGAAGAGATCCCCAAAGCAGAGCCAGTGAAGATTTAACTAAAGGTGCATCTGACCCCACCACATATCTGCAGTGCAAACGTCTCCCTCTGATCCAGGCACATGAAGAGCCCCAAGACACGGTGGGGACAAGGAAACCCTTGTCTGAGCAAGTGCAGGAGACTGGTGTGTTGGCATGGAAAGGGCAGCAGCCTCCAAGTGCCCACAGGTGGTCAGATGAACTCCAGTCCTGGAGGGACACCTGGCTGTCACTGTAGGCCAGTACTCACCTGTCTAGCTGTGCTCCCCTTCATCCTGATTTATCAAGCACAGTGGCTCACTCAGTGCTCCTCACAGAGGGCTGCAGCTGATTAGTCAAGGCAAGGAGAGCATCTCGGGGCCAGACAAGCATGGGGAGAAGCCTGTTTGCCCTGAGGCAAATATACAACCACAATCTATATATTAAATGAAAGAAAGTCCAAGCAACAACCCCCAAGACCTTCCCTAGCAGATGGTGCTCTTTGGCTGGGGAAAGCAATGAGCCAAGAGTGATGCACCAGCCAGAGGGTCAGTGCTGAGGCAGGACACACCTACAAGAGGGGCAGAGAATTGTACGGAGTCTGACAGGAACTGAGTTTTCTCCAGGTTCAGGACCACAGAGGTGCTCCATGGGGAACAACCATGGTGCCAGCAAGACCAGAGCTGCGGACACAGCCCAGGATTGCCACTGATGCCTGGAGAGGCTGCCTGGAACAGAGGCTGGACAGAGTTAAAGGAATAAAGTGAGTATTTATTAAAAGGCCTTCAAAGGATACACCTTGGGCAGTACAAGAGCCTGGCTGTGTCCCTACCTAAGATGGATGCAAGATGGACCCCAAGTCATGAGATTTCACACTTTTATATATTTTAGTCCATTTACATATAGGGGTTAATTGTCCAATTGCAGCTTCAGGTTATGAAGTCCCATCCTCCCAGACTGCTTTCCTCAATTTGCTGTTGTTTAGACTTTTTTGGCCCAAAGTTACAACAGTGTCTTTGGTTCTTAGGCAGGAAAAGGATTGTGTTGTTAACTACACTGTGAAGAGAACTTGCTAACACTTTATTTGGAGTTCAGAGTTATATACTAATGCAGTACAGAATCTGGAAAATATGAAAGTTAAAACTTAAGGTATCACCACCATCCATGTCCCACTTAGTCCTGTCATGTTTTTATAGTCAAAGTACCTCCCTGAGCACAGGCATCCCCATTTTGCACGTTATGGAGCCTTGACTTTCCCAAAGTCACCTGGAGAAGCTGATAAAGCATCTTCCTTGTCCAGTCCCTAACTGGGGGTCATAGAGCCCATATGCTATGGGATGGCAGATTTTGAAAAAAAATGTGGCTCAGGGGTATAATGTAAACTTCAGCTTAGTAGAACCAGATTGCACAACCTTCTCCAGGTAACAGCTTCTCCAGTATCCCACCAGGGAAGTCAGGACTGCACAATTCCTTTTGGCTCTGCCTTTATGAGTGGGTCCTGCACTTTGGCCTACAAGACCCAAACCACAGCAGTGTCCTTGCCCTGGTTGTGAAACACCTTGCTCTGAGGAAAGAGCGTTGCACCCAGGTGTGGGGAAAGAACTGATGTGTTGGCAGCTCCTTGCCCTTCAAAATCACCAGAGGTAGAAAAGTCTGTATGTGCACATTTACAGATGAGAGGAGATAATCCATGTGGAAGTCCCGCCTCACGTCAGCTGAGATACTGGCAGTTTAGATCAGATTTAGAAAGTGGGGGAAAGACACTTTTGCTGTAACAAAGATGCAGCTTTGTACAGTTTAATTTATTTACAGTCATACATTTCTGTCTTATATCTCCTTGACATGAGGCTCAAAAAAATAATAGTATGTTTGCCTGTGCAGCTGCAGACACTCTGCAAACTTCCTTAGCCTCCTTCCTGGTGTAGATTCTGAGCCTGACTAAGGTGTGGATCTGCCTCTGAGAAGGCAGAACTGAAATACTTTGATTTCTGTCCAGAACCTTGCAGTTTTTACCTGGAATCTCCCTGTTTTCTCTGTGAATGTTCACAGTTCTTTACATGAAAGGACAGGGAACACGTAACTTCAACAACCTCCAGTTATAAACTACTATAATTTTTCTCACCCAATGTCACACACACTTCTCACTGGGAGGAGCTCTGTACAGGGTAGAAAATGGCATTGCAAAATCTCAGATATCCTAGTCACTGCCTTTCTGGACCTGCCTGGTGTTGTTTGGGTCACTTACATGTCTGAAAGCTTTTGTTTGTGTGCAGCTTTCAGACAGCTTGTGAGCAGAGACAGGACTGGGAGATATGGGGACATTTTTGTGCTGATCAGGGTGATGCGATGCTTTTTTGTTAAATTTGGTGCTTTTTGGACCTCGACGAAAGTTGGGATCCTTCCTTGTGTGCCCTTTTCTGAATGTCTCACTGGGGATAGGAGGGATCCTGCTGAAAAGAAGGTGATAAAATCCCAGGATGGGATTTTTTTGGGAGAAGATGGGTGAACAAGAAGAACCTCTTTCCCATCCCAATGAGCTTCTGCATCAGCTTTGTATCCAACCCTCCTGCCGCGGGACACCGCCCGTGCTTCTTTTTTTTTCAGCTCCAAAACTTCGGAGATGTGTTTCCTGGCTTTTGTCGGGATAGCTGGGTGGAGGGTGGAGAGACCGGTGGGAGCGTGGAAAAGCCTGGATGGGATCAGGGAAAGGGATGTGCATCGCCTCCAGGATGCCTGGACACAAGGCACTGCCGCCATCTAGCGATCTGGGATTCACCAGGGAATCTGTTGGGGAATGGGGACCCCCACCCAACCTGCCTCTTGTGCTCCAGACATGTAGAGGGGCCCACTTTGCTGGAGAGGATGAAAAAGCTTCTCAGCAAACACGAAGTTGAGAGTTTTGCTGTGCTTGTCTTTGAGTGCCGCAACACTCAGGGCTGAGATGTGAAATTTTAGGGGGTTTTGTGCAGGAAAAAAATTGAATTTTTTGCTGTTATACATGTCTTTCTGCTTCCTCAGTCCTCATCAAGCTTTGAGATGCCTTTGGAAGGTGGAGAGGCTGAGTAAATTTCCACCTGCAGGGATGAAAAATTATACATTTAAAAAAAAAAATGGTGAAGTTTGATCCAGCCTTGGGGTTAGCAAATACAGGTGATTCCTGACATATGAGTTCAGAGACCACGAACTGCTCAGGAATGGACAAGGTCCAAAGTGGAATTGCAGATCCCAGCAGGAGTATGAAGGCACTGAGTAAGACCAGGTTAATTAGAGGCTATTACATTTTCAAGCTCTTCATGTGTTGCTGCAGTGGATGAGTCCTGACAGGCAGCATGGGCACACTTCTCCCCTCCTTTTCTTAAAATTTCAAAATAATATTAAAGAATTATAGAATGAATCACAGAATCACAGGATGGTTTGGGGTGGAAGGGACCTGAAAGATCAACTGGTTCCAACACCCCTGCCATGGGCGGGGACACCTTCTATTAGCCCAGGTTGCTCAGAGCTCCACCCAAACTGAAATGCCACTCTAAACTTGAGTGCATGGAAATCGTAGGGCTGAGCATGGGAAAACATCTCCAACTAAATGGCACTGCCATCCTGGTTTGTGTCCCAGGCTGTGTTCTGTGCTCACCTGTGTCTGCCACATCAGCAGTCCCCGCACCACAGCATTAAACACTGACCTTGTTAATGAGGGTTTTCACTGCTGATAGATCCAGGGTAGAGCTGTGGCAACAGCCTCTTTGCAGATGCTGAGCAGCAGGTATCCTAGTATAATGCTTTTTTTTTTTTTTTTGCAGGTCTCCTGCATCCCAGAGGGATGTAATGCTGAAGGAATCTTCAATCTCATTGTAAGCTCTTCACTTGGAAAAAGAAAATGGGTGCATTAATGAAGTCATTTCACATAGCTAAAACACATATTAAATAATTAGACATATGGTAAATGAATGCCCAGAGGCATAAGGTCCCATGCTGGTGGGAATAGGTGAGGTCTCATTGAAGTGTGCTGGGTGACTCTTGCAAAGATATACATTGGTGATATTAAATACTTGCATCGGTAATGAAAACTATCAGCTTGTGCAGTTCTTCCTATGGATTTTATCCTGTCCTTATTCTAGCCTGAATTCAAGCTGAGCTCAAAGTGTGCTCTGCCTCTGCATGGGCAAGGAAGGAAAATCCTGAATTCACCTTGGCATAGCAGCATGGGAAAGGGAAGAGGTTAGAACAGAGGAGGAAAATCACATATCCTGAAGCTTTTGCTGTTTTCTTTATTTCTAATATTGCACTGTTTTGTCCAGAGATCTCACTTGCAATTTTTTGTGTCAGCTACCACTGGAGCATGTTGAGGAGCTGAGACTCTGTTTTGGAGATATCAGCCACTCCCCTCAGCATCCAAGTAACCTGTGAGCTTCCACTCACTCCAGGAATGGTGATGGGAAGGTTTCACCATAGATTTAAACCTGACCAATCCCTGAAAAACAAGGCCCAGCCTTGCTGTTTTATCCAGAACCTTCTGAAAACACCTGGATCAACATCTGTAATGGGGACATACCTCCATTACAAGGTGAGCACCCCACTGCATGCCAGTGTGCCAAGAGGATCTGGTGACTACAGGTACAGGGACGACTGTGGGGCCGCAGCAGGTTTGGGTGGCTCAGGCTTCATCTTCGCAATGTCATGAGTAATACTGAGCACAGAGATGGTGGGGAGATGTAGGCTGGTTGGCAATACAATTTATATAATTAAAGATAAGTAGCTCCCTTCCTAGCTGATTTCCTAGAGGTGTGCTCTGCTCTGACCCACTGTTTGAGCTCAGATTTATTATTAAAAAGCTTCTGTTTGCTTCATACTCTGCTACAGCTGCCCTGCTCAACCTTGAGCAACATCATCACAAGCAGCTCTGTCCAGAGCCTAAAATTTACCTACTGCCTGTACCTGAAGAACCTGCAGAAAGAGTCCTTTGGGATGTTTGGTGTAGAAAAGTCATTTTCCACACCAGTGCCTAGTGACTGGACCACTCTCTACCAGACATTTTTCTCATTGCTCCAGTTAGAACCATAAGAATGAGAGAGAAGAAATGTGTTTAGGGTCAGACTCCAGTGCTTTGGCAGGTGGGATGTCTCTTGCTGCAGACATGGGCTCTGTGGCTCATAGCAGGTTGTTATCAGCCATCATTTGTACCTCTGCTCCTGCCTGCATGGGCTGAAGTCCTTCTGCTTTCTCCAGTACTGAGCTGTATCCTGGGTTTGTTGAGCCACCGGTCCTGTGCTGACCTTGCCCTTCAAAAAAAATTGATTATATTAAAATAAAAAGCAACAAAGGGGTGCACAGCTCTTCCCTGTGAAGAACTGGATTTTTTTTGCACAACCCCTCACATGTCTCCTCTCTCTCCTGTGCCTCACTTTCCCCGTTGATGTACCAAGGCTGAGCAGAGCTGAGTTCCACACTGTTTGTGCTTGCAAGGGACTTCTGGGGTTTCCTGACCCTTCTTTAAGCAGCTTCAATCTCAAATTTAAATCTAAACTCAAGGTTTAACCAGGTGTCTCCATGTTTCCCCAGTCGAAGTTCGAATGTCTCCAGGATTATACAAGAGACCACAAGGTCTCCATGGCCTTTGCCTGATCACTTTCAGCTCTCTCTTAATATTTAACCAGATTTCCCCCTAGCTGCAGCTCGCACCTGCTGCTCCTTGTCCCGACTCCTGGCACCAGCAGAGGCAGCTGAGCTCCGTCTCTCCCACATACTCCCATTCCCAGGCTTGCTGCAGGCCCCGGGGACACCGGCGGGTGGCACTGGGGACAAGTTTTCCGTGAGCAGCAGTGCAGAGGGTGGCCGGGCTGGAGGCGGTGGCCGCAGCTTGTCTGGCCGGCTCGCCGCGGTGCTGAGGCGCGCTGAGGGGCCAGCGAAGGGCCTGAGGTGGGCACAGCCGAGGGGTTCTCAGGGCGGGGGGGACACAAGGGCTCGGCTGCCGCTCGCTGGGATTCGCGCCGAGCCGGAGGGTTTAGCTCAGCACTTCCTACACTGCGTCAAATCCTGTCCTTAGTTTAACCCCTTTGAACAAAATCAGCTTGCTCTAAAAACACAGCGATTTCTTATTTTTTTGTACTTTTTTATTTTTTTTTAATTTTTTTTACTTAAAGCTCCGGCTTTTGCAAACAGGTCAGAGAGGGACATGACGTGCTTCTGCAGCGACTTGTGCGCCGCCAGGGCTTTTCCTCAGGGGAGAAGCGCCTCCCTGGGCAGGGTGAAGGGAAAGCGGGACAAGGAGGCTCCAGCCTTGGCACAAACCCCAGGCAGCCTTTCCACCTCCTGCAAAATGCCCTGCACCGGCCCTGGCTGCTCCAGCTTCCTGCGGGAGGAGCTGGTTTGTTCCCTGGGGAGCTCTGTTTGCCCACAGGGGAACTTTTGGAGGCAGTTGTTTTGGGATGAGGGCCTGTTCCTGGTGTGGGGGTGCTTTGGGCTGCTGGCAGTGATTGTGGTGCCTCCCCAGCAGCCATGGAGTATGTCAGCACACGGGGAGGCGTGAGGACCGTGGACTTCGAGGGAGCCCTTTTCTCTGGCTATGCACCCGATGGGGGCCTCTTCATGCCCCAGCGCATCCCCTCGCTGGACAGGGACACCCTGCAAAGGTGGAGCAGCCTCTCCTACCCTGAGCTGGTGAAGGAGCTGTGCTCCCTCTTCGTCCCGGCCAAGCTGGTCCCGCGGAACGTGCTCAACGGTGAGCTGAGAGGGGAGCTGCTCACAGGGATGTGCACGAGGATTTGGGGGGTTCGGATGCATCTGCCTGCCTTTCCTCCATCCTCTTCACGGCCCCCAAGAGGAAGGAGCCTGCTGCAGCATTGCTTGCCCCTTTCTGTAGCCTGTTCTCTGTCACCTTGCTGGCACTAGTGGAAAAGCTGTCCCCTGTGTATAAATAGGGGTTCTGGTGGCAGCAACAAGCTGATGTTGTGGCTCTGCTCACTGCTGGGGCCCCCTCCAGGGCTTTCTGCTGCTTCACGCTTACCTTGACATCTGTTTTTTAATGTTTCTAACACTTATGAGCTATCTGCTCCACCAGAGGGCAGCTGCAACCTCTGTCTCAATGGCACATTAGTATGAAACTCGGGTTTCCTGTATTGTATGTTTAAATACAGTTTTCTGATAGTGTGGCATGTCCCCTGGGATTACTTAGCACAGAGTTATCAAACACCATGAAGCTGGGCTGGTTCATTCCTAATAACCACAAATAACTTGTTGGATATCTATCACTGCACCAGCAACTGAGAGCCTTTGGTTGTGCAGAAAGGTACCCAAGAGCACAAAGAGCACAGATGAAGGGGGCCATGGGTCAGAAAAACACTCCTGTAATTTAACAGGCCATTTAATCATTTTCCCTCTAGACCTGATCGACAGGGCCTTCAGCAGATTCAGACACAAGAATGTCGTGCATCTGTCCAGGCTGAAAGATGGGCTGAACATTTTGGAGCTCTGGCATGGTGTTACGTATGCATTTAAGGACCTGTCCTTGTCCTGCACAGGACAGTTTTTACAGTATTTTTTGGAGAAGAAGCAGAAGCATGTCAATATTCTGGTGGGTAAGTATGACTCCTTGGAGGTAAGGTTCTTGGGCAGGCCTTTACCTTGAGAGCCATCATCCTACTGTCCTCTCCAAAGATGCCCCAGGATGCTATTGCCTCATAATCTCCAGACAGTGCCAAGGTGGCTGCTCTGGCCAAAAATGTCATGGAACATCTCTGCATCTTTTTCTTAAAGTGCACTGATGCAAGTTTGATTGATGCATCAATTTTTTGCTTTTCTTGGTGCTTCCTCACTTTGAAACAGGGACTTCAGGGGACACGGGCAGCTCGGCCATCGAGAGTGTGAGAGGGCAGAAGAACGTGGACATCTTTGTTCTGCTGCCCAAGGGACTCTGCACCCAGATACAGGAACTTCAGATGACCACTGTCATTGAAGACAATGTCCATGTTTTTACTGGTTGGCACTGCTCTTTGTACTGTCCACTTTATGGCCCTGCTGTGTCAAAACCTTGACCCTAAAAGTCTGATGGGTCTGCTCAGTAGGATTTGCAGCTTTAGCAGCTGCAGTCAGCCAGGTCATTGCTATCACCATGCCCAGACATCTGGCTAACAGGAGACAACCTCCCCAGTTCGACAACCAAGCAGTTTAAGGCTTACTTTGCTCCTGGCTGTAGATCAGAGCTGCCTCCATGCAGGTGGTTGGTGTTTGGCTGAACTAAATTCAGCACCGTTTTTTGTCATTCAGGGATTGGGAGCCACCCCTTGCCTCTGTCCTCTCACCTTTGTGGGTGATCCATCCCCTACCACCGTGCCATCCCCGTGGCATTGGTATCGCCACTGGGTGCTTGAGATGCTTGAGTTCCCATGGACTCCTCTGCTCAGCCACGTCTCACCTTAGCATCTCACTAGGAGATGCAGCATTTGCCTTCCTGGCAAGTTTATATTTGGTAGAAACAAGAGCCCAGAGTGCTGTGTCTGCAGAAACCACCTGACATCCACAGGGTGCCACACAGGCCCTGGTTCACACAGCCCCCAGGGCAGATGGGCAACTTGGGACACTCCTGGCCACAGCAAACCCCAGGGCTTGAGACCAACCCTGTTTCTGAGCAGAAATACCTCGTGCCTGATGCACTGCTGCTGGCAGATCTAATCTTTCCTTTCTCCTTTTGACAGCTCATGGGAACAGTGATGAAATAGATGAGCCGATCAAGGAACTGTTTGCTGATGTCAATTTTGCTGGAAAATACAACCTGATGAGCTTGAATTCCATCAACTGGTCCAGGATTATGGTGCAGATTGCTCACTACTTCTATGCTTACTTTCAGTGTGTCCCATCCCTGGATACCACCCCGTTGCCAGTGGTGGAAATTGTTGTGCCCACGGGAGGAGGAGGAAATATCACAGGTAAAGGGAGAAAAGATGGGTTAGATAAGAAAGAGAGAATGCTGTGATCTGTGGACCAAAAGCACTTTGCAGATACTGGGTATTGCTATTTATTAAAACACCCACTCTCTGGTAGGATTTCTTCAGAACCACTTATATTTTATTACTCATGTATGGTTATTACTCAATTTAGGTGTCACAGATGATTTGCAAGGTACAGAAAAACCCAAACCACCCTTTGATGATGACTGTAACTATCATGAGGATGGTCACATTAGGAGAGGACAGAATGTGTTTGATGAAGAAAAGAGGGGAAAATGCTGTGGCTCTGATTTCTTAAGTGAGACATTAACAGAGCTGTGGAGTCCTGCCTGGTTTTCTCTGGTGTGCATGGTAATGAATGGTCAGGAGAACCACTCTTAATTGCTTAATCTGGCCTTCTAAATGAGAGTCCTTGATTGTCTCAGTCCCAAAATAGGTGTAGAACTGTCTTCTGAAAGCAATAAAGGATTTTATATATTCACTGCTCTTCCAGGCTGCCCATCAGAGAGGCAAAAGCCCAAAATCTTCATCTCTCCTACTTGCCTGTCAGCTGCCTGGACTCTTGGTCCCTTGCCTATCCACCAGCAAAAGTGGAGATCAGCAAGGGTGTGTGTTCATTGGCAGGTGAAGCATTGCATCCCTGGATTTTATAATCTGTGCTCTACCAAACCACTGAAGTCAGATATCTCAGAGGCCACTAGGGAATATCATTTGTGTCTGCTTCTGAACTAGATGATCAATCAATTTGTACGATGACTTCTTTGCTATATCTCCTTCAAATATTTCTTCATCAAGCACTCAAGCTTTTTTTTTTTTCACTTTTTTTCCCTAGCTGGCTGTATTGCCCAGAAAATGGGTCTCCCAATTCGACTTATTACTGTGGTGAACAGCAATGACATCATTCATAGGACTGTTCAACATGGAGATTTCTCACTGGCAGAGAGCGTGAAGGCTACATTAGCATCAGCCATGGATATCCAAGTACGTAGTGAACTGGCCAAAATGCAGCAATAGAAAATATTACTGTTTGTTTTTTTAATCTTGTACTCTGTTCTACCTGTAAAATTCTGCCACTCGATGATGCATTAGGAAGTGTGACTCATATTGACCATTTATGCTACAGACTGCTGGGCTGAGCTAAATCAAGCACCTTCTCCCTCACTTTTCAGGGCTTGACTTTCTGATCTTCATTGTTGAGTGCTGGGTTTCCAGGGATTCATTCTGTGCAAGCTTAGTGAGACAGGGACATTTCCACAACATGTGACAGCTAGAGACCTAAAAATGCCATCATGTCTCAAGGGTTTTGTTGATGCTTTTGAAAAGCTCCACAAAGAGCAAGGGGAGAGACCAGGAAGGAGGTAGAGAAGTCCAGAATAAATGCCTCCTTCATGGCTGCCTGCAGCTTGCTCAGAGCAAAACAAGTCCCAGCATGCGGGGAAAGGCCTTGGAAAAAAAAAGTCATGGAGGTACAGAAACAAAACACCTGGAAGCACATACCTCCCCTTTCATTCCCACCCTGGGATCCCCAGGGATTGGATCTGCTTCCAAACAAGTTTTCAAAGTGGGAAACCCTTGGTGTTGTACCTCTGTGGCCTTAAGCTACCTGGATTTTCCAAAAGCTGTTCAAGCACACTGGGAGGACCTGAGAGTCTGGAGGGACTGCCTTGCTTCGCAGTCACTAAGTCCCTATGCCACTATCACCAGACTATGCTCTGCAGCTTGGCTTTCCTCCTGAGCCAGGAGCTTGTGGGGCTTCTCAGAGCTCCAAGGGTAATTGGGGTCCTCTTTCAGCCCACCTCCCTTCAGTAGCACTGGTCAGCAAGTGCCAGACTTTGGGATCTTGGGAGCAGAGAGTTAAGTGAGGAGATTTCCTGAGATTCCTGAGGAGCTAGATGAGTGACTCCCTCTGCACATCCCCCTCCACGGCTGCACGGAATGTCATTTTTCAGCTCACATCTGAACCATCCATGAAAATATTTCCATAACTAAGGAGAGCATTTGTTCTGGAGGGGAGTTCAGGGGGTCTCTGTTTGGGACTTGTTTAAAGCAGGTTCAGCCTTGAGGTCAAGTGGGATTGCTCAGGGCTTTGTCCATTTGGGTGCTGGAAACCTTCAAAGATGGAGAGTGCACAGCCTCTTTAGGTTGCTGCTTCTGCAGAATAAGGTAAAGCAGAGAAAACTTTCCTGTTAGATGCTGCCTGAAGATTTGAAGGTGAAGCAGAAAGTCTGGTGTGGATGAGCCTTGTAAGGAGCAATCTTAGGACAATCCCAGCAGATGCTGTGTCTTTGCAGCCAAGTTCTCTGAGGTCAGAAAGAACCACACAGCTCATATCCACACTCCAAAACTTTGTCCCCAGCATGACCTGCCTCCAAACTGGGCCCTGACATTCTGCTGGAGAGCTCTGATAGGTGGGACAGAAGCAAAAGCCTTACTTAGATGGTAGGGCTGGTACTTGCACCTGGCCCAGACCCTGTTCAACTTACTAATGTCAACATAGTGTTCTGTAGTGGAAACCATAAGGCTGGTGGGAATGGAAGGTGAAGAGGAAATGTGGGAAGAATGTGGCAAGGATGTGGGAACAGCAGAAAGAAGGACAGGGAAAGGGTGTCAGGAGCAGTGTTGGAGGCACCTCCAGGAGCAGGTCATGGAAGTCCAGGCACGCTGACCTGTATCTTCTCAGGACAGCCTAAAACAGAGGACAGCCTAGAGCAAAGGGCAGGCTACACCCAGACTAGACTGAAGAT